CAGGGAAGACCGACGGTTACTCGGACCTTCTTGTCAGCTGGCAAGGCCCACATTTTGAACTTAACGGGCTCTTATGTCCATTGAACTTCATTTGCATGCTGTATGTAGCTTGATTTAATCGAGGCGCAGAACGGGTGGCCACAGCCTTGGAGACTTGTCAACAGATACTTGCACATCATATAGGTGCCATAGCACGTGCTTGGCAACTATGTAAATAAAATAGCCTACAGTCTGCTGTGAAGACCTCGGGGCCTATTGACTTCCCCGCCTGTTTCTCCGCCCTCGCCTGCCCTCGCCCAGCTGTACGTCCACTGCTCGACCATCGTGTGCGGGAGGACCAAGGCAGCGTCGCGGTGCCGGCAGGGCTGCCTGTCGCAGAGGAGGCGGAAGGAGGCGGCGGAGGCGGTCGACGGTGACGAGGAGACGACGGTGTTCCTCCTGACGCGGGGGCCCTTCTTGTGGGAGGGGGACAATGACGACAAAGTGGCGGCGGCGGAGACCGAGGACACGGACTGTACGTGTCCACCCCCCCCCCCTCCTCCACGCCAGCAGTGCCCGTTCTTTATCACATTGACTCCGATTCTCCCCCCCACAGGCACATCTACCGTGTGGTTATTGTTGGTGGCCGAGCACCACCCCACCACGTGTCTGGAAACGCCATTGTCCGTCCAAAATGCTGTTGCCACATCTCTAGGTCCTCCGTTCATGGTGCCGTAAAACATCTGCTTCATGCTGATGCCAGAATCTATGAAATGGCTATGCACGGGGCAATCGGCTCTGTACATAGTCGCTAGCCAGTACATACGTTGAACCGCTTCTTTTTGCACCGTACGTAGCTAACCGTGCACATCGAAGTGCAGGTAGTTGTGTTGTAGATTTAATGTAATTGGCAGTTGAGTTGAACTCCTATCTGGTGCAAAAATGCTTTAATATGATTTGGTCTGTGCTCCCTCTCCAAGTAATGACCGGGGAAACTGTTTGCGACATGGGACGCCTGCAACTTGCACACGAGGGCAAGGTGCGTGGCCTTGCTCCCAGTGATGTGTTTGACCGTTTTCACTTCATTTGCAGCCCAAGGAACTTTCTCAGCCGTCGCTGGGATCTTCGCGGCCCTGCTTCTGTTCCTCGTCCTCCTCGGCGGAGTCCTGTGCATCATCGAGGCCCTCTGCAGCGGGGACGCTGGGCCGCCTGGCGGGTTGGGGGATTTGATGAAAGTGGTGCAAGACGGCAAGGAATCGTGTGCAAAACATTGAAACGAGAGCCAATAAAGAAATGCGCAAAAGGGGGCCCTCACGTGTGCATTAATGGTGTGGATGCGACACTCTCTATGGAAGCGTGACCTTGGGTCCAAGGCCACCTTGAGAGGCCCCAAGATCATACTGGTGGGGCAGTTACGCTGCAAAGGTTGTAGCTTGGCCAATCCTCACGACTTGGAGCGTGGCGGAGCCCTGCCATTGTAATGCAGTCGCAACTAAAACACCGCAGCCAAAACTGTCCTCTCCCCTGCCTTGTTTTTTTATTAATCTTAGAGACAGTGCTAGATGGGTGATCGTTTGCCATCAGTGCTGCGTCGTGTGCATTTTCGTAAATCGACGCGCGTCCTCGTGATAGTTTATATATTTATATTTTTCCATTTTTAAGTGGGCCTTTTTAAGTGCTGCTATGGTTTATGCAGGCACGGAATGCCCATGAGGGTTGTTGATAGCTCCCCGTGCTGCCCCCTCTATCTCCTTCTCGTGTCTCTTGCCGATCCCATCACGCTTCGTTCATTACAACTTCCCAGTCCCTAGAAATCTAAAGCTGGGTGGAGGGGAGCGGGCGGGGGGGTCTTGTCGTCTTGTACCGTTTTTCAATTTTAACAATTCACCAAAGTAGTTGGTGAGGATTGGAAATACTTGTGGGAGAGAGGAGCCCGAATCCTCGTCCACGCAATAATTTGTTCACGCCGAGATGTGTGGCTCGCCAAAACAAATATCTGAGTCTGATCCCCCCCCGTGGGTGAAGTTCATCAGATGGTTATTAATACCAGAAGATTTCGGCCCCTCTTCTCCTGTAGGTCCTGCAGAGGGACGTGGGGGAGGGCGAGTGCCTTTGGGCTTAAATTCGAACCTTCATGGGTTGAAATTGGTCAAGTAAACTACTACTTGTGGAAATACAGGGTGAAAAATATACGGTACAATATAGGATGATCATGGGTAGGCGAAGTTTCCAACAATAACCCCCAATTCCCAACCCAGCCGAGTGGCATTTGGGGAGGGTTGGGGACATGGTGAGAAACGAAGCCGTGCCAGGAGTATCATTGCACAACTCCGCTCTCCCAGACATAACCCGCCCCACCATGCCCCCCTACATGACAAAATCGATCCATAATACAGGTTTTTTTTTGGGTTGATCGCATAAAAATATAAATGTATCATTAAACCAGCCGCTACCCGACACAGCCAATTAGTAAGGTTTGTCAGGCAACAACGTGCCAATTCGTCACTAGTGCAGCACACTGGTGTGTTGGAGAGCCAAGAAGCGACGACATTTACAATTAGAGTACGCCGTTTTGCCAGTAATTGCAACTAGCTTCATCAGGCGACAGCCAGATTTGTGGAGCAGTCCACCTGATTCGTTCCCTAGAGGTGTAGATGTGGTGACGTCACTTGTGCGATATTCTTACGCGAAGGTGTGGGGGGGGGGAGATTAATAAATGACTGGGTATCCAGACTGGTATTGCTCGCGAAAAGCTTACGCGTTTTAAAATAACAAAGATCCACTGCCAACGGCATTGCGCACGATGCGGGGTGCCTGGCTTTTGTTGTGGGACGTTTTCGTGATCTGCGCGGTGCCACGTGGTTATTGGAGGCGACGTCCACGACAAGCCCCGCCGGCTCGGGCTGTGTCTGCTCCAATGTCTGTGGAGAGTGACTCATGGAGATGAATTGCTCATTAAACATTCACGGATGTGGGGGGGGGGGGCTTGCAGATCCGCGCGTGTGTTTTTGCGATCGCGTGTTTTTGTACCCCCCAACATAATTTGTCGAAGGCAACCTTGCATAACAGGCCCGTCCCAGTCGGATTGGGTTAACGTGTCCATCGGCCAGGATTGATCCACTGCTGGATGAAGGTCCCCCGCCCAAACCCCTGAAATCTCATGGCGCTCTGAAGCAATGCACTTGGCACCTCCACTGGGAGCCAATGGAAAGTCCAGCCGTAAGACTCGTTTGGTTTCGTATGTAGAGCTTCTTTTGCACTGTACGTAGCCTACCGTGCAACTCGAAGGTTGGTGACACCAGAAGCGCGGTTTCTAGTATGTGCCAACCTTCATGTCCAGTTGCTGGAGTCCTCTCGCCACACGCTGTGGGGGTTATTGACCATGCTTCACGGTTCATACTCTTAGGTTTTGTTTCGGTAAAGTCACGTAGGTAAAAAATAATAGAAGATAAATAATAATAAAAATATAAGAAATAATATAAATAAAAATCACGGCGTTTCGGAGGCAACACAAGCTTCCGTCTTCAGGTTGGAACCGTCACGGCACGATATTACTTGATACAGCTATCGTGCTGTGACTGTTCCACCTGAAGACGGAAGCTTGTGTTGCCTCCGAAACGTCGTGATTTATTTTATTTCTATTATTTCTTCTATTTTTATACTATTTATCTTTTATTATTATTTTTATCTACGTGACTTCACCGAAGAAACCTAAGGGTATGAATCCTTGCGGTCACGAAAGCTCCAAATCTAGAATGCTTCACGACCCTTGTTCTAGCATGGGTTTGCGAGGGCAAGGGAGCATTGACTTGCAAGCGTAGATGTACAAAACGATGGATTTCGCTGCACTGCCGTCTACTGCCCACCACGAAACCCGATTGAACCCGCTGTGTGCGGCGTTGGTCACCCGTCCAAGCTCTCGAGACCTCCTTACAGCGTCAAGAGCTGTCACAACCTCCAGGTGCACTCCACGCGATTCGGTCACTTTCTAAAGAACGAGGGGGCGGGGGGGTCCCTCAAATGGAATTGCAGAGGAAGAGACCAAGGGGCTGAGCCAAGAACGAGATGGAGTGGAATGTTTAGGGAAGGAGGTGAGGGCTGGTGAGAGGTGGATGAAGAGATGGAAAGGACGAGAGTGCGTAGAGACATGTACGATGACTTGACACTGGGGCGATGGTTGGTGGTGGTGGTGGTATGCTCTTTAAAGTTTTATTTTTTAACCAGGCAAGTCCCACCTGAGCTGCAATATAGCACCTGGCTATCGCAAAGTGTAGCGCAACCAAGTGGCTTGTGGAAAGTTTATATTCGCCAAATACTCTAAAAGCATGTTTCTAAATTTAGAGGGGAAAACCGGAGGACTCGGAGAAAAATCCATGCGACCACGGGGAGTGAGACAAATACGCAGTCGTCAGGGCTGGGATCGAACCCACAACCACCTGCATACCAGGCGAGGTAGGTGACGTCTCGTCAAATACAATAGCGGAGTGGCAGCCAAGGAACGGAACGAGTCGGAACGGAACGAGTCTGAGCGCAACCACTGTGGAGACGGAGCGATTCTGGGTGAATTGCTACATCGCAGGATGGCGAAAGATGACCGGCGGCTGGGAAGAATCCTTCATCGAGCAGTGGATCGAGCAAGTCCGAAATCATGACGACGATCTTCCAGTTATTAAGTCTCCGATGTAGTTTATCGCTCCCGCATCCCACAGTCGGAATAATTAAGACTTGGAGGACCGGGCGGCCGAGTGTGGCACGGCAGATACTTTAATGCCTCGCCGGTGGCCTCCACCTAATCCGGCCGTGACCGCGCGGGGCTCTGCGTGGATTAAATAAAAACACTGAATAATTAATGCGCAATATTTTCAGGGGGCTCGTGAATTATGCAAGGAGTTGGAGGGGGGGCAGGCAGGGTGCATTCGCGCGGAGCAATGCAGGCCGGGTGGGCGGGTGGACACGGCGAAGCGTGGAGGGGGGCGGTGATCGTCGCTTCTGTCTCATCGTGTCGAGCAAAGTGGCACCGACTCGTGTGAGAAAGTCGAACATGAAGCCGTGCGTCCGTGACGCTTACCTGCCCGCACGGAGGCCGCTGCTGCTGCCGTGTGCCACGTGGCTCCTGGTCATCATCGGCCATCTAGGTACGTGGTCGTGCTTTGGGTGGGGGGGTAAGACAGACGTGGAGATGTCGTGCAAAGCGAACAAGAGATCCCCCGTGTAGCCTGTCACAGACTGTTGGGGCAAATGCTGTTAGCGAGCAGCACCTGTGAAGGCCGGCACGGCACGCGAGGGGGTGGGTGGCCAGCACCACGCCCGGCCGCCTTGGTCTCCCCGGTGGCGATGTTTACACCCCGCACCAGGTACTCATTCGAGGCTGAGTCGACCTAGGGGAGGCCCCGGACCGGTTCAGATAATCGTCGCCGGGGTTGAGTTGGAATCGAACTCTGGTGGCCGGGTTCGTAGCGCGCTAACCGCGACGCCACCGCACCCCACCGCGAGACCGGGCACGCAACCTCGCAAAGGACGCGGCAACCGTGTGTGGTTGATGTAGTCACTTGATTCCACGCAGAATGTATCTAATTGGTGTTTGAACGTCTTAACACCTGTTGTGTTGCCAGAAAGGGTCAAATCTATTCTTATTTTTCATACTTTGATGCTGGCCAAAATAAGGTCCAATTAAACAAACAAAAAAGACATCGGTATTTCATCAAGTGCATTGTGGTTGCTCGTGTTAGTTCACCATTAAAATTAATTGAAGTCCTTTATTGTTACTTATATTCTCTCCACAAGAACGCTAATTGATATTTTGAGTAAAGTCACGTAGAACGAAAATAAATTAAATTATAGAATACCACGTTTCGATTGCAACACGAGCAATCGTCATCAGGTAGAATTTAATTTGTGTCTCCGTGTCTGTGTTTTGTCTCTCTCAAATTCAGTTCGAGCTGATGACGATTGCTTGTGTTGCAATCGAAACGTCGTATTCTATTATTTAATTTATTTTCTTTATACGTGACTTTACCGAAAGAACCAAAGAGTAATTCCTGCAGTGACGAAAGCATCAAATCAAGTTTGATATTTTGAGTTTTCTAGAATATTCCGTAAAACAGCTCCCCACCCCCTCCACATCGCAATGTGCCGCGGAATTTTTTGGAATCGCACGTCCCAAGCTGGGCTCGGACGGAACTCTCCGTGCCGTTCAGCGCGTTGATTCAAGCCGGCCTGACTCTACTGCTGCTGCTGAGACCGCCGTGGTGTCGAAACCGGTGGAGAGGTTTTAGTCTGTTTTTGCTCCTCTTTGGACCAATGCTGCCCAAATGACGCACACTCTCAGAAGGCCGGTGCAGCTGATTGGGGGTTGTGTAAGAAATAACCTTAAATTTGTTTTTGTATTTTGGTGGAGAGACGGTTATATGTGAACGAGCCATTGTCCGCTTGTTTGATATCATCAAAGTAACAATGTGGGCGAGCGTGACCGCCTGGTAGCGGTGGCGGGCGCGATGCTGTCCGGTTGACGCTCGGTCTGTGTTGACTTGTTTGGGGGTCTTTATGGGAACGACTATATGGCTTGCCTGGCTAATTTCAGCGCTTAAGAATGTCTTGTTAATTCTGTGTGTGTCCTATAGGTTTCTTTTCCGTGCTTTTTTTTATTTAAAGCTTTCGTGACTGCAGGGATTCATCTTCTTGGTTCTTTTGGTAAAGTCACGTAGAAGGGAAATAATAAAATAATAATAAAAAATTATGTTTTATTTTTATTACTTTATTATTTACCTTCTACGTGACTTTACCGAAAGAACCAAGAAGATATTTCCGTGCTTTGTTTGCCTGCTTGTTGCCGTCATCTATTTTGTCTTGTTGCGCGCTCTTCAAACACGTTTCCTGCAATTTTAGACGTCGGCTCTCACGACAAACATCACGATGCGTTCACGAGAGTTGAGCTTTTTTTGTTGTTGCGGAGACCCGATGATTCTGCCTGCTATCTCCGGCGAAACGTCGGACAAATTGTTTTAACACATTTTGCTTGGGCTTTTCGGCATTCATCCATCGGTCTTGAAATAAAAACAATCGGCATATTTTCTCCACACGTGACACAACTTGCTTCCACTGTCTCTGTCGGGTGGTGGAGGGTTATGGTAAAAAAAATTACATGATACACTACACGACGACCTAAGCCAAGAGATACGAAATATGAATCAAATGTGCGTTGATACTCATAGGTTTGACTGTCAAGAACCCGCCCGTGTATTGTACCCCTCGTGCGGCATTTGCACGAGGGGTATCAGTAGCATTGCTGTAGTTGTCGATAACGCTGCGTCATTAAAATAACACGGGCAACGTTTCGGGCGATAATCCTTCTTGATAGCACATACATTACTAATAAGTGGTCGTCGTGGTAGTACGATATTAAAGTAATGACCTTGCCAAAAGTCACTTCCATTTTCTTAGGTTTTTTCGGTAAATTTTAATGTTTTACCTACGTGACTTTACCGAAAAAACCTAAGAATATGAATCCTTGCAGTCACGAAAGCTTCAAATCTAGAATCACTTCCATTTATTTGTATAAACGTTTGGAGAGTGTTAAAGTGAATGTAAAGTAATCTACAGTTCTGTGAAATTCCCTGTTGGAGCAAGGCATCCCAAAGCAGCTATTGCTGTTGTCTGACCATACTTCACCACCGGTCACCAGTTCAGATATCCCTCGCCACTGATGTTAGCCGTGGCTGTGATTCGAACTCTGGTCGCCAGGTTCATAGCGCACTGCATTAACCACGGCGCAATCGCTCCCTCGTTGTCAGTATTACTTGGCAATAATGAATGTTGCATAATAATGTCGATATAATGTAAAACGTTCGTTCTGAGGCAGGACGGTGAGAGAAAGCGATCATTTGGGGGAGGGAGGCCTTCATCCAGCAGTGCATTGATTTCGACTGATGATGAACGTAGCATATTCACAAGCGCTTTAATATAATCATCGTACTTTATTTTTAAATACAGCAACAAACCCAAACAGCAACAAATCCGTAAATCTATAAACGTCAAAGTCTGCAGTCGGAATGCCGTTAGAGCATCGTAAGCGATACCAGCAATGCTTTATTTGAGCAGTAAATGTCAGCGCATTCATATTCTCCGAATATTCCCCCGAGGTTAAACTTTGCGCTGAGCCAAGCAACGGGCATCTCGTGGCAGCGTTGACACTAATGAGGCTAACAAATGGGCATTAGAAACGGTCTCTTGTCATGCGGCAAGACACATCTCCTCCTCCGGTCCGATGATAAGTGGCTAAACGATGACTAGGAACAGGGATGATGTGCTCTTTGCATGCACATGTGCACAATGTGTAACATGACAATCCAATTTTGCTTTGCTGTTAAAATAATAATACAAATAACCGAACGAGAATTCACGATTATTTTATTTTGGGTTAGATTGTCGCGCAGATTTAATGTCAAATCGTTTTGCCTGTAAACCCTCCTCTACCCAAGAGCCAATGAAATCAAGTTGGTACGTCGTGGGGTAAATATGCCAATTCATTGGGCAAATACCATATGCAATTAATTGTACCCAATTAAAATATCAGCAACACCAGGAATGTTGAAAAACCCAAGCAAATGTTGACAATTTGGTATAAAATGTGACAATTTGCTACGAGATGTGACAATTTGGTACAAAATTGTCAAATGTTGTATGTCAAATCAATTGGCACATTTGCCCATGATGTAACAACCTGATGTGGTTGGCCCCGTCGCTGGGTGGTGGAAGTTTATAGTTTTTTTGCTAAGTGACATTATACCTACACTATTATCTAACAAAAAAGCGAATTTGCTACCCTAACTAGTTTTAAAAACCTTCCAAAGCACCAGTGTTGTTTGTTTGTTCATTTATTTATGTTCGGGTTTATTTATGTTGGGGCTGTGCTAGGTTAAGTGGATTTAAGTGGCTGTATACATATTAATAAACAAAGACAGAATACCGCCCTTTCAGACCGCATGAAATGTTAGGGCGAGTACACTGAAGCGAGCACCTATTAGGTCTGTTCACAGCCCACCAGGGGATGACGCTTGGGCAGGCACTAACAGCACCCTCGTCTAACGCTCGTCTCTCACTCGTCTCTCCAAACACTGACGCGTTCAGCTTTCCGCACCAGAGATGATGGTCATCATCTCAACCATCTCAACCAATGCCATTAAAGCACCACGGTTTTTTAAAAATCCTTCATATTAAGTTCACTTGCGCGCTTGCTTGCTTGCTTACGACCGTGCAAATCTTTCGGTCGTTTTTTAACCCACTTCCCGTGATCCAATCGAGCTGACATTTTCCACACAGACTCGTTGTGCGTGACAATTAATGTTCATGGAAATTTTTTCCCAAAATGTTACACTTTTTTGGACAAAAATATTATATTTAATTACCAATTGCTTAATGGTGCCATGCAATCATCTGACCCATAGGTGGCAGCCATCTCAAGCCAGAGGACGAGAGGACTCTAGCCACCACGCATATAAAGGATTTATAGTGAAAAACTTTGTTTTTACGGGTTATACTTGTTGCTTTTGTCGCTCGAGTCAGACTCAGATGCCACCGTTGTTTTTGGAAATCTGACAAACAGGTTCCACCTTTAACCGTGGCCCGTCGTCTCGCTTCGGGTCGTTGCTCGAGTCACCGACGCGATGCCAACACAACCTCACCATCGCGTGATGTCTGCTCGATCCCTTCAGGCGTTGCACCGTCAACACCCGTCCCTACAGCCTCATCAACACCACCAGCGACTGGGCTTTAGGTCGTCCCCTTGGTAGCTGACCTCTGAACGCCACTCCAAGCCTGCCTTGGTAGCCTGCCCTGCTCACTTGTCCCACCCGTCACAACCTCCTCTTCCTGATTGTATCTCTACAGCGCTCTCCTGCCATAGTCTATTCCCAACCTCCCACGTTGTTTACCCCATTGGGTTGGTCTGAAATGATCGCCCAAAGAAAGGAGGTGACGTCACGCGTCGTCTGACATTGGAACGGAACGTGACGCTAACATCGCTCATTAAAACGCGTCGTGGAAAGCGTTGGATCAGCTCGGTGCGAGTACATCTTGTGTTCTGGTCATGCGCACCAGCGCAAAGCTATCACGAAGCCACCGTCAGTTCACGTACGAGTCTATAGTCTGGCGATGTTACGACAGTATGTGGTTTTTACACACTTTTATTCAACTTGCCCTGTTGTCTGTTTATATTATTTCAATTGTTTGACGCTTAAATATCTTCGGATCTACGAAGCCGAACGAGCTGAAATTGTGTACACAGACTCGTCGTTTCGCGTGACAATTCAATATTTAATCAAAGAACCGGTCCAGGTCCCACCGATCCTGGGCCTGTTTGTGTTTTTTTACTTTAAAATGTTATTGCACTATTTAAAATATATGATAATTATGCAGACAATAATTAAATATTGTTATTTTCTAGATTGATATCTTAGGGTGAATATGTACATATACATATTATTTTGCAAGATTAACATAAAAAGGTAAAAAAACTAAATTTTCAATGCACACACTTTTATTTGCGCTCAAACGTTGACCATACATTATTTTGAACAAATAATTAATCAAATTTGATGTTCTGAATAAAAATGGGTGGCTTGCATGAAGCAAATTAAACATATAGAAAGGAAACTAACCCCTTTTATTCAGCACATCAAAATTGATTAATTATGGATTCAAAATACATGATTTTCTACTTTTGACTGCAAATAAAAATGTGTGCATTAAAAAAAGCATTTTTTAATTACCATTTTTTTTACTACCCAATTCAATAATTGCCAAGTAATTTTTTCAAACGTTGGACGGGTGACGGCCGACGCACAGCGGCATGCTGCTCATTTTCTTTCAACAAGCGTCACGGGATCTTAAGCGGTCCGCTGTTAAACGCTGACGGCGCGCAGTCGATAATGACAAAGTCAAAGTCGTAACGCCGCCGCCGCCGCTGACGCCACCGCTGACGCCACCAAGCCATCGAACAGCTTTCTTGGCTCAGCCATCGAACAAAGACGGCCCCAACTGCATCGCGCGGCGCTTTCAGTCGCTTTCCTGCGGCCGTCTGGAACGCTCTTCCTTCCGATATCAAGAAGCCACTGAGAGCTGTGCACTTTTCAATCGTCATCATCTAGGTTGAGTACTAATTTCTTTCGAACTGCTTTTTGTGTTTAGTTTTGTTGTCCTTCCCCCGCACCTCCGATTAGCGCGGTTGGCTACGTACGGTGTGAAAGAAGTTCAACATACATACAGTGCTTGCTTGCTTTCGTAAGAGAGGGAGTAACACAAGAAGCGGGAAGAGTATCCAGGAAGGCAGCAACCAGGTGGTGTGCCAAGGCTACCAACATTTCCCAAGCTCTGCGGTCCTCTATATATATCAAAATGCTATCGGCCAATTATTGCGTGTTTGTACACGTGGGAGGAATCCCGAGTGGCCGGAGAAACTCCACGCGTGCGAGGGAGCAACACTCTACCCCATAATAATGGAACAGGTGGAGTCCACATTTGCTGTATACCAACCTTCTGCTGGCGTGCCAGGCTTTGACACCTCGACGCTCACACAGAATGGAGCTTCTCAACATCTATGCGGTGATCCACAAACCCTCGCTGCCTCCACACAGTGCTGGATTACAGGCAGCCACGTGCATAGCGGGCACTGCTCAGCTATAATCAATACACCCGCAGTAATAACCAGGGTGGCCAATGGCCTCGAACTGTGAACCTCTCGGATAATTTTTCTTCCTCGTATCCCCCCCGCACCGCCGGGGCCAACACTAACCCGTGGCGCGTGTGGGCATGCGTGGGCACGATGCAGCGGCTCGGTGCTACGGAGCGGTGCTGTGCGACGCCTCCTCGCGCCGGGCGACCTGGGAGAGCGGCGCGGGCACCCAGTGTCCCACGGACAACTTCAGAGGTATCTCCTCCTCATCCTCATCCTCCCCCACCCACCCTCCCACTCAATCGCTGCTCCTCATCACGACGTGGTGGTGCACGTGCACAATTAGAACAACAACAACAAGAACGACAACACGTTCATCAATAACACTGTGTGGCCTTTAAAGGATAAAACAAATCGAGAGAATAGGTTACTCAGTTTAACACGTAGTAGGCTTTCGCGAACAACATTATCCATAATAAAGAGTTTTTTGGGTGAGATCGCGTAAATATGAATGTGTCGTTAAACCCGCCACCACCGAAACAGCCAATTAGTAAGGTTTGTTACGTAAACAAAACATGCCAATTCGTTACTATTACAGCGCACCGGTGTGTTGGAGAGTATTGTAATTTTATGGGTTTACTCTCCAACACAAACAACATGCTCTGATAATATATGATGCATTATCTTTGAAACTGAGTGGCCTACACTAAAGACAGCCTTCTTTACGGCCTAGTCTCACCGCCAGTGTTAGACCGGAGAACGCCAAAATGCGAACAGCACGAAGCCAATGCAGGTATCAGAGCGTTTATAGCTCAGGTTGAGCAGCTGTATCATGGGACATCTTTTCCGCCAGGTTCAAAGTATGAAAAATAAGAGGATATTGCATGATGCCGAGTCTATTGAATTATGGACACTTGATTCCTCGCAAAAGTTTTCTATTTGGTGTTTGAAGATCGTAACGCCTCCTGTTTTATTTCCAAAAATGGTAAAACCTATTCTTGTTATTATTTTTCACAGCAGGCTATTTGGTGACGCTGCTGCTGCGTTGGGAGTGTTGCACCAATCAGCAACTCGACACATTCATCACTTACACAGTTGTGGCCTTGAAAGGAAGGAAAACATAGAGATCTAATAGGGGACGTTTCAGGCGATGTTCCTTCTTCATAGCTTGTGCACGCCGTGACGTTTCTCAGCAGCAACATCACCCAGCAGCAGCGTAACCACCATCATCATCATCATTTAGCGTGTGTACGTACCGCACCAGCTTGCCACGTGAGAACGTTTACAATCTATTGCTCAATCATGATTATTACGTCTGTTTAAGCAGGAAAGCCTTTAGTCTCAAGAGGCTATTGGAGGAGGGTCCTGCCAAGTGTTTTGCAGTCAGGGGCGATGCTGCTTCTGCTGCTGCTGTGTGCAATGCTGATTGTATCACGTGCGGGAAATATTCCAGGACTGGGACGTTTGACCAATTCCAGTTGCAAAACAGGGGGGAGAAATACAAAACATTTATACCAGACCATGAATGTTGAACGTCGCCTACGATATATTCATTATTTTAAGAGTGTTGGTGACAAATTCCTTTTTTTATTGTGCTTGCGCACCTACCCGAGTAGCAGTGGGCCTACCAGGGCACCACGGTGGCGAGGAGATGTTAACTCCCTCGCCTGGTATACAGGAGGTTGTGGGTACGATCCTGACCCTGACGCCTGCTGCTGTATATTTGGAGTTTGCGTGTCTCTCTCCCCGTGGTCGAGTAGATTTTTCTACGGACCCTCCGGTTTTTCCCTCCCACATTTTAGAATCAAAATCACACGTTTAGATAATTTGACTGCTATAAATGTCCACGTGATAAGCCACTTCGTTGGGCTATCATTTGTGGCCAGGTCGCTTCTGAAAAAGAGCTACATAGCTCAGTGACCCTAACCTGGTAAAATAAACATAGTTTCTTGTTAGTACCTGAGCAGTGATTGGTGCTAGTAGTGGAGTGCGCGTGGCTACGTAAAAGAGGGCGGGGTTCAAGATCACCACGTGTCCTGGTTGAGACAAATCCGTGATTATGGTGACCCGGGGTCACTCTTGCGAATGAGACTTCATCCTGGTCTCTTGCATCCTTCGCTGGTTAAACACAACCACCCCTTGAGCCACCCAGACACGTGGTGGCCTACACAGCGGTCGGTGGGCGGCTTTGACGGGAACATGGAGAGTGCTGCCAACCTCACCTCACCCGTCCCCGCCCCCAGGGGAAGCGGAGCGTCCACTTGCGCCCGAATGCGGAGTCATCGTTTCGGACCCCGATCGAGACGGCGGCGGCGAGGGCGGTGCCGCCGGTGCCGCCGGTGCCGCCACCGGTGCTGGAGGGACGTCGCCGCCACGATCGGCGCTCGCCGCCGAGGGCCCCGTCTTCTACGTGGGCAGTGGCAGCACCGTGGGCTGGAGGCACCGCGCCTTCTCGCTGTACCCGGGAGGGCGCTCCGTGCTGAGCGCCGCTCACTGGCTGGCACGCGCGGGCAACTGGACGGCGTGCGAGGTGGTGTACGACCCTGGTACGCGTGCCTCCTCTTGTGACGTGTGCACTGGGGGGGGGGGGGGGGGAGTGGTGGCGCAGCGGTTAGCGCGTCGCGTCGCGAACCCAGAAAGAGCCGAGCTTGATGCCCGCTCGAGGTAAACGTCAGTGGCGATTATTTTTTTCACCGCTTCTTGGCCTCCCCTAGGTCGACTCGGCCTTAAATGAGTACCCGCTGCTGTGTGAACGTCGGCACTGGGGAGTCGAAGGCAGCCGGGCGTGATGCTGTGATCGGGTGGCTGGGGATGTGGTGACGGGGATGCGGGGAGCGGGGGGGAGAGAATGGGAGAGGGGACTGTGGAGATGGGAGGACACATCGGCGACGGGATGAGCGGAGAGAGCGGTGTACGAAGGAGGGAGCTGTGTGTGTGACGGAGGTGGAATAAACGGACAGGACCGCTTGGCCGCTGCATGTGCGTTCAACGTCTGCTCACCGGCTCGTCTGTTCATTTGGCCGTCGACGTAACCGTCTCTTCGCGAACTCGTGCCGTGGCCTCCCCAGGTCTGCACGTGTCCTTGACCGACACGGAGAGGTTCCTCACTGACCCCGGCCTCCAGTTCTACCTCAACAGCATGCCCCTGACCCCCGACGGACTCCTCGACGGCCTGGCGCTCTCCTCCACCCTGCAGCGCATCCGCCGGCGCGGCGTGAGTATTAATGGGCGTGGTGACATTCGTAGATGATGATGATGATCGTGATATTTGTAGCAGATGGTGGTGGTGGCGATGATCGCGGTGATTGATGACGAAGGGGCCAAGCGAACCTTGATTTAGGATATTTGAACGCGGGGGGGGGGGGGGGTTCTTTGCGATCACGAGCCGGCGCACGGCGCGAGACGTGGGGGCGTGCGTGTTTCTCTGCGACCTCTCTCTGTGTGCACTCCTCCCCATTCAGACGTTCACCCTGATCCTTCACTGCCGCCAGTCGCTCATCCTCCCCCTGCTCGAGAAGGTGGGTGGGACGGCATTTTCCACCGAAAGTCAGTACGCCGCCGCACGTTGGTTCGGGATCTGCGCCCAGGGCCAGGGAGGTGATTTTGAAGCCGCGTGCGGTGGCTGGTAGCCAGAGGGGCAGCCACTGTCTGGTAACATCCCCAACAAACGAGATTACGAGCAGAAATCGTGGTATTTCAGAGTCCCTGTCACAAAGTGATATGGGCGTCGCTGTGGCAAGATGTTAACTACCTCGCCTGGTATACGGAAGGCCGTGGGTTCAATCTCGACCCTGATGCCTGTATATTTGGAGTTTGCATGTCTCTCTCCCCGTGGTCATGTGGATTTTTCTCAAAGTCCTCCAGGTTTTCCCTCCACATTTAGTATCAACGTCACGCATTTAAGAGTATTTGGCTGCAATAAATTTCCACATGATAAGCCTCTTCGTTGAGCTATTAATGCAGGAGTAGGCTCACTACCCAGTCAAAATACTGCTGTACTGTTTAGTTTTCTTGCAAACTAATGCTCTGCTTTAGTATGAGTGTAGTAGTAATAATTTTTTACAGCCTCCCTTTGTTAAACCACTTCTAGTTTCCCCACTCCGTGTACGGTTTGTGGGAGTTATTTACCCATACTTCACCACGCCCGTCAGTTCGAGATTAGCGAAGGCGGGGGGCATAGAAGTGCGGTACAACGATGGATTTTGCCGCACCACCGCTCGAAGCAGCTCCCACAGTGGTCCGTGACGACCTGGCGTACACGGTCGCCGCCTACCCAAGCCCTCTGCAGACTCCACGAGCTTGCTCGGCTTCCAACAGCTGACGAGATGAGCGGGCATTGCAGGCAATCTGGACGCAGGGAGGGCCACGTTAATAATAACGTGTTGATCTTCTTGGTTCTTTCGGTAAAGTCACGTAGAATGGAAATAATAAAATAATAAAAATAAAACATAATAAAATAATTCTCACGACGTTTCGGCCACAACGCAAGCAGCCGTCCTCAGGTGGAGAACAGGTCTGTCGAGAAGGCAGAGTCTGAAATTTTCAGACCGAAAGAACCAAGATGAATCCCTGCAGTCACGAAAGCTTTAAATCGAAAAATAACGTGTTGCTCAGCTCAGTGTGTGTCGACGTGTGTGTGTGTGTTCAGGCGGTAGTGTGGCGGTTAGCGCTGCGCTGTGCTACGGAGCCTTGCGACCCGAGTTCGATTCCCGCTCACGGCCAACACCGGTGACGATTATCTGAACCGGTCCCGGGCCTCCCCTAGGTCGACTCAGCCTCAAATAAGTACCTGGCGCGGTGCATAAACATTACCACTGGGGAGACAAAGGCGGTCGGGCGTGGTGCTGGCCACCCACCCCCTCGTGTGCCATGCCGGCCTTCATAGGTGCTCGTTAACAGCACTTTCCCCAAAAGTCTGTTAAGGCTATACAGGGGATCTTTGTCTTTGCCTTTGTTTTGTTCAGGCGCTGTACTTTGGGATGATCGCGAGTCCTTACAACTGGATCATATCCCTCAAGGTGCGTGGCTTTGCGCGAGAGGAAGTAATGTCACGGAGAGAAACGCAAACATCAACACTGAAGTGCAGGGTTTCCAGATCTGCAGTCATCACGACCCACCACGTTTACCAATTTACTCGCACATTCACCACCGCTTCCCCACCACACCTCGCCTCGCTACTCTCGCCTTGCACTGAAGCTCACGGTAGAACCCCACGCAGCAGCGTCACTCAAAATCTGCTTTGGACATCAAGGTCTCGAAGCATTACAGCCTCATGTCGATATACACTACACTATACACTACCCTACGATACACTATACACTACACTACACACTACATTATACACAATACACTACACTATACACTACGCTACTATACACTACACTATACAGGACTGTACACTACACTATACACTACACTACTGTACACTACACTATACACTACACTATACACTACACTATACACTACGCTATACACTACACTATACACTATTGTACACTACACTATTGTACACTACACTATTGTACACTACACTATACACTACACTATACACTACACTATACACTACACTATACACTACACTATACACTACTGTACACTACACTATACACTACACTACACACTATGCTCCTATACACTACACTATACAGGACTCTACACTACACTATACACTATTGTACACTATACTACTGTACACTACACTATACACTACGCTACTGTTACAGCCTCACGTTGGTTCTCTGCCGTCGGCCCCTCGGTGTGGTACTCACTATATCCCTTTGCTCATCCGCAACATCAAGTTCACTCTGACTTTCATGAAACATCTAAAGGCCTCTTTCTATCTGTTTCATCAGGTCTTTCGAGCAGCCCTGAACATGGCTCCACGCCTCTCAGTTATTGACTTGTCTGCAAAATCTAGCGCGTTATAAATGTCATCATTATTATTCGTATAAAAATTAACTCGTTTCACGCTGCACGCGCCCGATGATTGTTGAACACACCCGATGTGACGCGCTAAGCGATCCATGGTGTTGCACGTGCACACCGGGGATCTAAATCTTCTATCAATTCGGCTCCATGAACTCAGACGGGGTTAAATGCTAAGCACGCCACGTGGGGCATTCTCGAACGCCGAGGGTTACACTGCCCCGCGAGAGAGACCGGAATGGATTCTCCGACTAAACACGTCGCGCACAGAGCACAATTGGGATAAAACTGGATTTAACAAACAAACAAAAACATTGGCGAATCGATCTCGGCGCCTTGCTACATGACATCCCGCATTTGTTCGCAAACACCTGCGACACGGTTGTATAGAGAACTTCCGCTCAAGTGAACGAGTGCGACTCTGTCCATGCAACCCATACCGTGGTTCACATCGTAACCCCACACGGAGTCTGTAGCTCATCTTCTTGGTGCTTTCGGTAAAGTCACGTAGAAGGGAAGTAATAAAATAATAAAAATAAAACATAATATTATTTTTTTATTATTTTATTACTTCCCTTCTACGTGACTTTACCGAAAGAACCAAGAAGATGAATCCCTGCAGTCACGAAAGCTTGAAATCGAAATTTAATTATGTTTTATTTTTATTATTTTATTACTTCCCTTCTACGTGACTTTACCGAAAGAACCAAGAAGATGAATCCCTGCAGTCACGAAAGCTTGAAATCGAAATTTAATTATGTTTTTTTTTATTTTTTTATTACTTCCCTTCTACGTGACTTTACCGAAAGAACCAAGAAGATGAATCCCTGCAGTCACGAAAGCTTTAAATCGAAGTCTGTAGCTCCTTCAACGGAGGAGGATGAGCGACACCGACTCTCTCTGCTGATGCCCTCCTATCGCGGCTCACAGCAGCAGACCTCGATATTGGCATTCAGGTCCTCGACACAACGCTGCTGCCATTATGCGCAAGAATAGAATTGCTTTGAGTGAAACTGCAAATGGGAAATCAATAACCACTCATGCTTGAGATGAAACAAACGTGTACTCTCACAAAAATAAACTACAATTTACTTGAAAAATATATATATACACATGAAGGTGTGTATATATTTGTTTTCTTTATCGGCCAAAATTCATTGCAAATAAAGTGAAACCTTAGCCATAGAATTGGCAGATTTATCAGTTACACGCGCATTACTTGTCTACATGATCCCCTTTCACCTCAATGGCTTCACGCCATCGAGAAGCGAGAGCGGTGTCTTCCTCGCCAGTGGGGCGTTACTTTTTGGGCGATCTCCCTCGTAACACGGCAACTGCTCGCGTACGCGGTGGTGTTCACACGTTTTCGAGATAAACGCGGTTCTCCCACCGTTATAACACGCACCGTTATAGCGCATAATACGCAGTTATAACGCGGAACGCGCACCGTTATAACGCGGCTTCTGAGCCGTCGACGACGAACTACTTTCTTGAGCTGCGCGGCTGAGCGGTACGATAACAGTACGTGGAATGACACAGTACGCGGCGTGACACAGTACGTGGAATGACACAGTACGCGGCGTGACACAGTACATGGAATGACACAGTACGTGGCGTGACACAGTACCGCGGCGTGCCCTCGAGTTATTTGTCCCGCCATCTCACTGCGTTGCGCATACGGTTCACCGTACCTCGCCAAACGTTACCGTCACTTTATTTGTGGGGAGGGGGGGGAAATCGGTTTCGCCGAGAACGCGGCAGTCATTGCAGTAACGTACACTCCTGTCACGTCGTGTCATCGGCTATCCCTCGCACATCGATTCGCTGGATTCTTTGTGGGATCGACAAGATTCTGCCTCAGCTCGGGCACATGCACGCGTGCGTGTGCCTCTTAGAAAGAGTGGTGTGGGTGGAACTGGATCAGTAAGTGAGCTGCAGCCTGCCGGTTCCACCGGCCCCGGCCATTCCTCTTCCTTCAAACCCTCCTTCATCGGTTGTGTAACGCTCTGTGGAAGCTACCTGGCCTGTCGCTCCACACAAAGCTTCAGGTCTTCTCGGCCACGGTCATGCCCTCCCTTCTCTATGCTTGCGAAACGTGGATGCCCCTTAAAGGAACATCTTAGAAATATTTAGGCTGGCCTGCCTACGATCTATCCTGGGTTTAACCAGGCTGGATTGTATGAGGAGCTCACAAATAATTGTAAAATCTGGAAAAAGTCCCATCGGTGAGCTCCTCCGGCAGGCAAGGCTGCGTTGGCTAGGTCATGTTGCCCGCATGCCCAGCCACCGCATGCATAAACAGCTTTTGTTCGGCCGGATCGAGGGGGCTAAACGGGCGCGGCACGGGCTAGAGAAGAGATAGAGTGATGTGGTACAGGAGGACGTGGAGCTGAGTGGACTTGCCGATGACTGGTACCAGCGGTGTCAAGATCGGCCTCAGTGGAGGAGGCTCGTGAAGGATGCTACTGGGCAGTTGGAGGCAGTTGCCCTCCAACAACAACGGAGGGCAGAGGAGCAATGCTCACAACCGGGTGGCTAAAACACACCACGTTGGCATAGTAGGGGGCCCAAGTGGTGCATTTGCCAGTCATCTCAGTCAGTCAACCAATGACACCTGCTGGGTCTATCCCTTGACCTTCCTGCCAGCGGGCGTTCGACACTTCACGTGGCCGCCGCGTTCAACGAGTCACTCTGCTGCGCGTAAGTTCTCTTCGCGGCTGCGGCGTCTCTCTTCCCGGCGCGCGCGGCTCAGATGCTGCCGCCGAGTCACCTGGGCGTGTTCGGCCTGACGGGCGTGCGCTTCTGGCTGCTGGAGCTGCTCACGAGCCGGGGCGCGTGCGGCGCCGGCGCGCCCTGCAGCGCCCTCAACACGTTCCGCGCGCTCCAGTACGACGCCGCCAACTTCGGGCGGCGGGTGGCGCACGCCGGTGGGGCCTGCTCGGCCGGAGCTGTCCTCAACGTGAGCACCCCCGACCTCGCCCCCACCCCCCGCCCCCAACCCCGCCCCCACTCCCAGAGGTCGCAACCGGGTACCCGATACCCGTACCTTATCCGATACCCGGCTACCCGGCCGGGTACGGGTACCCGTTTGCGACCCTGGTGCGGCCGGGTACAAGTAAGGAATCAAAACCCGTTTGCGACCTCTGCCCACTCCCCAATCACCTTCCCCTTTTCTAACCGATTCCAACCGTCCTCCCTGTCAATCATCCTCCGTTTCCCGCTCTTTCCATTTTTGAGTTTCTCCTCCAATCCCTTCAATTCCCTGCCTCTAACCAATCCCACCTTTGAGGCCCGTTAAGTACGAATCAGAGGGCTTGTTTTTACTCTGTCCGTGTCATGCACGCCGTGTCCATAACGTCGGGTGAGTATTTTTGTTTGCGATTGAATCACTACGTATGTTGAGTTTCCTTCACACCGTACCGTAGCCCCTCATGCTAACCGGAGGTGGCAGCCTGTAGGGTCCTGACGGTCACCTCTGAGCTGCTGCTGCTGCTGCTGTTGTCGCTGTCGTTGTTGCAGACGAGCGCCGTCGGCTTGAGTGGTCTCATCGGCTTTGACAGGCAAGGATTTCGTAGAAATGGGACCTTGGTCGCGTCCGAGATGCACCACGACGGCCTGCAGCAGGTGAGCGTTGCACCAGGCCTAGAAAGCACCGCGCCATCCACAGCCCCCACCGATCCACCGCTGTTGGCCACGCCACCCCCTTGCGCGCTGTCGACCTTCGTAGGTGCTGCTCGCTACCAGCACTTTTCCTTTTCCCCAACAGTCTGTTAAGGCTATACGGGGGGGGGGGGGGCTGGGTCTTTTGAGAAGTGGTGGCAGTGTTTAGCACACTGCGGTATGAACCCTGCGACCCGAGTTCGATTTCCTGCTCGCGGCCGGATAATTATCATTGCCAATTGATCCTTATGGCGATATCCCGGGGTAACCAAATAATACAAAATGGCCGAGGCAATTAAATACTTTATTTCTCGGATACTTTTTTCGAGGGGTGTACTTCACTCTGCGACTGGGGTACTAATCAATCCGAAATCAGTGATACTCCGTGATGTCGAAACGCCAAACATCAGCATATCAAAATATTTGAATAGTCCATCGTGTCCAGCTCGTCGAGATGAGTCGATGGCTGCATCGCCGACCATCAACAGACTAAAAATTACTGCTTCACGGACATTGTGCGAGAGCCGGGGTACTACGGTACCCCGGGGTACCGCCATGAGGTTCAATGATCCGAACCAGTCCTGGGCCTTCCCTAGGTCGACCTCGCCTCAAGTGAGTGCCTGGTGCAGTGTGTGAAGGCCACCACAAGGGAGACGCTAAGGTGGTCAGGAGTGGTGCTACTCAGCACTTTCCCCAACGGTCTGTGAAGGCGACATGAGGGACCTTTGCCTGTTTGTGTGCCTGCAGGTGGGTACATGGTCTCTGAGCGAGGACAAAGGCTCCCGGACAGAAATGAAATCATCCAAGTTTTTCTTCCCACGAGATACCCTCTACATCCTCGCTCCAGAGGTAGGGTTGCCACCTGTCCTGCTTTCCCCAGGGAGTGTCCTCTTTGTTGATGAGGCTGCGCGTGTGAAATCTGCAAGTCTTCCCGGTCCGTGAAAATGTACAGATCTTGTCAGTTGTGCAATAACACGACGCTCAGTGCAGTGCCTTTACGTCCAGTCCTCCACTATTCCAGTATTTTGAGATATTCCCCTTCCCATGATACGTCCTGGTTATTTGTACCTTCGAAGGTGGTAACCCGATCCAGAGGTCCGGAGTCAACGGTCACTTTGTGGTTAAAGACCTCTTGGAGATGCAAGCGTTCCTCATGCAACCGCTTGATAGAAAAGGGTTTTCTTTTTCACTGTGACTGAAATTAGATAATCGACACAAGTTTCACGGAAACTGGCAAAACGGTGTTAAAAGTACCGACATTTCAATCACTCCCTCCTCAAGCGGGGGTGGACCAGCAGCTCACCTCCTTTGGCGGGCCCTGAATGAGAGGTTAAATTTGGACATTCCTATGACAGGGCCCATGATATCCATAGGACAACCAGGGTCATATTATCCAATAGGCACTGTGCCTAGGGCACAGCAGATATCTTCTTGAATAGATATATTTACGTAGCAAGAATAGGCACAGTATTTTTCACACAATTTAATTCTGGAAGGAGAGTAGTGCAAGGGAAACGAGTGTTGTTGTGCTACGCGCGAAACAAGCGGGTGATAGCGGCGGCAGTAACATGGGCAGTACCAACTGTCGAACATTATTAGGCCTTATTCTTAGGTTTTTTTCGGTAAAGTCACGTAGGTAAAAAAATTAAAATTAATAAAAGTAAAATAAAATAAAAATCACGACGTTACTTTTATTAATTTTATTTTTTGACCTACGTGACTTTACCGAAAAAACCTAAGAATATGAATCCTTGCAGTCACGAAAGCTTCAAATCTAGAATTATTAGGCCTATGAAACAGATGTGCCTAGGGCCTACAAGAACCTTAATCCAGCACCTGATGATGCTAGATGTAATCTCCAGTGATAAATCATGCAAATTTGTCAAAATGTTACCATGGGCTTTTCAACCTTCTCACTCTGGTTGGTTGATAAATCAGATTAATTTGCATTTTTGCCCATGACATAACAACTTTATTTGGTTGGCTCTGTCAGGTGGTGGAAGTTTTATAAAATGTAAGTTATACCTGCACGACGATCTGACATGAAAAATTACTAATTGTAAACCCTTAATTACAAGAGATTGAAAAGGCAATTTAAGGGTTTCAAGAATTGGTGAACTGACAAAACTCACAAACTCTACGTTTTTTTATACTATTTGGTTCTTTCGGTAAAGTCACGTAGGTATAAAATATAAAATAAATTAAATAACGACGTTTCGATTGCAACACAAGCAATCATCATCATGTGTTGCAATCGAAACGTCGTGATTTAATTTATTTGATATTTTATACCTACGTGACTTTACCGAAAGAGTATGGATCCCTGCAGTCACGAAAACTTCAAATCTAGAATCTACGTGATTTTCTTTCACAAGGCCGACTCTGATGAGACCCAGAAGGCTGAAGCCATCCCAAAGTTTCTTTCAACAGGTTTTAATGGATAACATTGGTTCGGAACGCCAATAGTCTGATGGACAAAAAAAACATTTTCCTTTATATTTAGCGACCTGGAGTTCTGCTTATGAATGATTGGGAGGTTGTTGGGCAGTTTCTGAGGTCAGGGTGCTAAGCCAGCGTCGCCTCCGTCCTGGGTTAAAGGCCAACAGCAGTTATATTCGAGTTACTTTGTTTCACTACATTTCTCTGACCTTGGCTATAACGGACCACTCCCAGTGGTCTGGAGTGGACACCAGTAGCCACAGTGGGGTTTTTTCCTGGAAGTGGGCAATCACTGTTTGTGGAAATCAGACAGCGTTGCATCGGGTAGGATTACCGGCGGCTCAAAGATTACCGGGGGCTCAAGGGAGAGTGTGCAGAGCAGTGGCTTCACTCGCTCCGAAATGATGGAGAAAGCACTCAATTAGTCCATTATCCCAAATCCCACACCGGTACCCTCACTCTCTCTGCTGGCAATTAACTGGATTCGGGTTTACGTGAGCTTACGGCTGTCATGAACGCACGAGCCAGAGAAGTATTTTTTGAAGGAGTGTCACGTACTCGCTCACCGATCAGACTGGTGCACATATAATCCGACAAAATTAATCGTGCACTCCGAATGCCAGTTGAATTGCACTCCATGGGAAACACCGGTTGTTTTGATTAATGTCATCCTGTCTGCCTGTGACGACTGTTAAATTATAGGCGCGCGTCCATCATTCGTGGCACGCTTTAAGGATGAGGCGTTTGGTTATCCCGGGCCCGTGACAAGGCCACCGAGAATGCGACCAGTCTCGTCAGATATCAGAAGCTAAGCAGGGTTGTTCACGTGGATTTTGTTCAACCCCACTGAGAATTCCAGAGACCGGGATAGGAGTCTCATTTGCAAAAGTAACCTGGGGCATTTAGTCCTGCCAGGAGGGGGGCAATGCTTGCTGTGAATACAGCTGTCACAATTGAGGACATTTTTCCGCGGTGCAATTTTCTTAGAATTTGAAAAATGTGTACCACGACGCTGGCACACAATGGCCGACTCATGTGACTTACATCAGGGGATACTTAACGCCCGCTGTGAAGCATACGGCACGCAGCGTTGTCATGGTTACTGCTCCCGCAGCGATGATCAGGGCAGCCGCCCGATTCTAAGCGTGAACCTCTACGAAGTTGAGTCCGCATAGCGCTTGGATAGTGGACCACTACGCGTACGCAGGTTTTCATAAACTTTGCGGGGCCTACGTGGTGGGCAGTAGAGGGCAGTGCAGAATGAAAAAACAACATTGTTGCACTGTACCTCTGTGATCCCATGCCTATGCGTCCCGCATTCACCAACCCACACTGACCGGTGTGCTGAGGTGTGGTCTCATAACCCCCACGACCTGCACAGTGTGGGGAGACCCTCATCCAGCAGTGGAGTGACAAAAGGAGCTGTGCATGGACATGCTGTGGTTTTCCCTTCTACGTGACCTTACCGAAAGAGCCAAGAATATTAACCCCTGCAGTCACGAAAGCTTTAAATTGAAAAAAAATATGCACCGATGTGTTCACTCACAGCACCCGGTTCTAACTTGAGGCCAAATCGACCTAGTGGAGGCCCAGGACCGGTTCAGATATTTGCTGTTACCCGTGGCTGGGAATCAAACTTACATTTCCATATTTGTAGCACAGTCCACGACCACCATGCCACTGCTCTCTGTACCATACAAGACAAAGATCCCCCATGTACCCATAACACATTATCGAGACAAGTCCTATGAACGAGCATTACCTATGAAGGTTTTAATGACATGAGGGGATGGGTGGCCAACACCACGCCCGGCCACCTTTGTCTCCCCAGTGCTGACGTTTACACAGTGCACCAGGTACTCATTTGAGGCTGACTTGACCAAGGTGATGGACGCCATGGACTGGGTTCAGATATTTCTGATCGTGAGTGGGAATTGAACCCTGGGTGCTGGGTTCACACCACAGTGCGCTAACCATTGCACGATCACTCCCCACGAACACACACGCACACACACACACACATGCAGGTGGCAGGCTTCGTGTCCTATGGGCAGGCCAGCGTCTCCAAGGCGTCCGGGTTCCTGGTGGACCTACTGGAACTCATCGCCGAGAAGCTGGAGTTTGAGTACCAGCTGATTCCGTACGACCGCAAGCAGCTGAGCGACGTGGCGCTCATCGCAGACATCCGACGCAGACTCCTGCTGCACGAGGTGACGCTCGGGCTGCCAACCTGCCTGGGAACACGTTGTTGCTCTTCTGAGTTCACGTGCGCTACTACCTGCGTGAAACCCCACACATCGAGCTCACGTAAAAACCCTCCTAGAACCCACGTAAAAACCCAACAGAAGCCAACATTTGTCAACTGTGGATGCAAAATACCGAATTGAAAAATGACTGCGCCTAGAGCTGAACCACTTGTTAGCGAATTGTACGCTTGGAATGACATTGACTAGAAGAACGTGTGCTTTAGAGGATATGAACAGGCTAAAGAAAGACGTAGTGACTGTGTAGAAAAGTAAGCGGACTTGGACCGGGCATGTCACTTAGGAGGAAGGGACGATGGCCGATGGTTGAGACTGTCGACAGAGTGGCAGCCAACGGAGTGCACCGCGGAGACGGAGCGCTGAAATCAGCTGGCATGCAGGTGCTCGATGGATTGTTACACCGCGGGACCGCGAGAGATGGCAACGAATTGCGGAGGCCTTCACCCTCGCAGTGGATTGATCATGGCCGACGACGATGACGACGACGATGATGGCGACGATGATGACGGCGATGATGACGACGATGATGACGACGACGATGACGATGATGATGACAACAATGATGACGACGATGACGACGATGATGATAACAATGACGATGTTGACGACGATGACGATGTTGACGGCCGCCCGACCGCCCGTGCGCGCGTGCAGGTGGACTTTGCCCTGTTCGGTTACCCGATAACGAACCAGCCAGAGGACGAGCGGCTGGCGCTGTCGCCGCCCATCCTCGAGAACGGCTACCACATCATCATGAAGGGCAAGGAGGTGAACGAGCCGCGCATCTTCCAGTTCCTGGAGCCGCTCAACACGCTGCTGTGGATCTCCATGCTGTCGGCGTGCGCAGGCATCAGCGTGGTGCTCTTCGTGCTGTCGCTGCTGCACCCCGACGAGTGGTACCACCTGGCCAAGCGCAAGCTCGTGAGCCGCGAGCAGGGCCAGAGCTTCAACCTGGTCAACAGCTTCTGGTTCGTCTTCTCGGCCATGGTGAAGCAGGGCAGCGACCCGCTGCCGCTCTCCATGGCCGGCAAGATCATCGTGTACACGTGGTGGTGCTTCGTGCTGGTCGTGTGCTCCACCTACACCGCCAACCTCGCCGCGTTCCTGACGGCCGAGGGGCAGACGAGCATCCGCTCGCTCAAGGACCTCACGAGGCAGATGGACGCTCGCTACGGCACCTACAGCGGCTACCGCATTGTGGGATTCCTCAACAGCTCGGCGCGGGACCCCTACATGACCGTGTGGCGCCACATCCGTGACAACAGGACCATGGTGGCGTCGCCCAAGAAGGGCCTCGAGCAGGCCGAGAAGGCGGGCTACATCTTCATCGGGGAGGCCTCGGCCGTCTTCACGGCCAAGAAGGACCATTGCGACCTCATCATCTCGGACCGGCGCTTCTTCCGCCACCGCCTCGCGCTGCCGTTCCCGCCGGGCTCACGGCTCGCCGCCGAGGTGTCGCGCGCCGTCACGGAACTGGAGGACTCGGGCCAGCTGGCGGAGTTGGAGCGGCAGTGGTTTGCGCAGGAGGGCCAGGAGTGCGTGGGCCTCAGCAACGAGCACCAGATCGAGATGAAGGACTTCAAGGGCGTCTTCTACTTCCTCATGATGGGCATCGCGGCGGGCTGCGGCGTCTGCTTCGTCGAGTGCCTTTGGTTCAAGCGGCGTGACGAGGAGGGGGGGGCGGCGGCGGGGGGGGCCGCGCTGCACCAGGACGGAGGCACCATCACCATCGACCAGCTGCAGTTCAAGTGACGCCGCCGAAGCGCAGCTCGGGTTGAAAGGTGAAAGGCAAAGGGGGCGCAGGCCCTGCGATCGCCTGCTCGCGCCACTGCTGGCGAAAGGGCCTCCCCCCGCTAGACGGGGCTTTGGAGGCCCCCCCCCCCTGCACGGGGTGTTCTTGGCCTCCTCTTCCGCGCTCAGCGAGGACATCTCTTGGAGGAAGCGGCATTTTTCCCGCGCTTTAACCCCACCGCACGCGGACCTGCCGATCGACTGACTGCCTGCGGCGGACCTATTTGACGCCGCTAGGTGGACAGAGGCGTGGGGGGGGAGTGGTCAGGATGGCGGTGGTGGATCTAAGAAGCCCGCACCATTCTTTCAACTGTCGCGCCGGGAGATCCGGAGTGCTAACCATGACACCACGGTAGCAGTGTCCGGCGAGTCGCGGGGGGGGTGGGGGGGGTGTGTGGAGGTGGTGTCAATTGGCAGACGACGAGGAATCGTCTGGCTCGAGTGGAGGAATGTAAATAGAGGAGCCGCGCTCGAGGTGTGAAGGGCTCGCTCCGCGAACGCCGGGATGACACGTGGATGTTCTGACGTGCTGTTTGGGGATGGTTCCAGGATGCCGCACGGTTCAACGACGATTTTTTTTTACTGTTGCCAGATGTGGGGTTTGCTGTTAGTCGGAGAGTAAGATTCGCTAAGGAGGACTGACGGGGGAATGGTGGAATCTATTGCAAGGGAACGAGCGATGAGTGTGTGGGAGGAGGCCTGGGCACTGCCCAAACGTTTAAGAAACGGAAACGGTTTGAGCGTCACACTCGCTTTGTGCGGTAGTAATAGGAGTCGATGCGTTCCAAGAGAATGGCTCGCAAAGCGGAACCGCACGAGACAGCTGATGCCGCGTAGTGCACGCAGTACACGCAGTACACGCACACAATGTCGTCCCACATCCGACCGCATAGCCGCATGTGCATACCTGTCGACCCCTTATCAGCGCCCTACCTTATTACAGACCAATTCAGACCTTATTGGTCACCCTGTGCCCTTATATATCTCAACGTTCATCCTACAAAGTCCCATCACAATGTAAAAACACAAATATATATTTTTGCCCACATTGAAATGGCTGTACGCCATATGGACCTGAAAACTCAATTTCCCTGTACAAGAATACGGGGTAAACTGTATGGGTTGCATGTGAGTGAATTAAAACCGCATAATATAGCGAATGTTGGGCATTAATAGGCTAGCCGCATATACGGCGCATAATAGCACAAAATGAACCCGCGCAGAGCGCGGGAAACCTGTAATTGGATTTACGAGGCTCCAACTCCCCATCATTAATGGTTACCTTGCGCTGGGGATTTCAATGGTGAGATGCGTACGTAAAAGTGCAGCCCTGCAACGTCTAGCTCACGCTATGGATGGCGAAAGGGCATCCGCCAGAAGGGTGCGGAGGGGGGCGGATTTATGAAACCCAGTCCAGTAGCTGCGAAATCGAACCGGCGACCTCTGGATGCTAAGTCGAGTGCACCGGCCGTTGCGTGCCGGAGTCCGAATGAATATTGCATTCACGTGTTGCATTTACAAGGCTTCGTTCCACCACCGTTACCGGGAAATTTGCGGCGAGATGTCGATAAAGTGGTTTTATTTTTTAACTGGTCCATCACGGGTCCTCCCTCGGTCATTTGGGTTTCTTTTCCAGCGTAATGGTTTCAATGACGGTGGGGTGGTTGGGTTTCCTGCAAGGCCATTCTTGGGCGCCATCACAAACCCCTGAGGGCTCAGCATCGTCTCTGCTAGCGCTGGAGGGCTCTGGGGGAAATCGCGTTTGAAGGCCACGCCCGTCCTTGACCCCAGAAGCGATGGTGGCGTTTTAACCCCTGGACTCTCCCGACGTGATCGTGTCTCTCCAGACGTCCACTTCCGCGGGAGATCGCTCCGTCTCCTCTCTGCCGTTACCCAGCTACATTCAGTGGCCTCACCCTGGCTGGCCAAAATGTACAACCGCCTGGCCCAGTAGCCTTTAGCGTGATTGTCACCAGTGGCGCCGCCACACTGTGTGGAAATTGGGGGGGTGTCCTGTTCGCCATTTGGTTCTCAGTGGTTATTGGGTCGATTACATACAGCATCCTCCTGAATTTTACCCAAACCAGTTCACCACTGCACTACAATTACATACCGAGCTCCCCCGGTTCATGCGCTATTATGTATATCTATGTATTTAAAGGTCTGCCGGTCGTCGGCATAATCGCCATGTACGTCACAAGGCGCCAACTCAAAAATACGGCAATACTCCGGTTTACGTAGAATATCGAATCGACATCAAAGCGATTATTATTTTTTCCACGAGAGCTAAACGGAGACAACGGAGAGGCACGGCGAAGCTGTGTGTTAACGCGCGCATCTTCATCCTCGACAGAACCACAACGTTACATTAAATTACTAAAATACTGCACTGAACACTAGTGTATAGCAGTAAACTTAAACACAAATTATACAGGGCACAATATGATACAGTACATTATAAAAAAAGTCACCAAAATACTGTACATAAATAATATACTGACCTCTAAAGTACATTTCTTTATGCGCGACGCAAAGTATTTCGTGTACAGGGTAGGTGGAGGCGGAGTGCTGAAGCGAAGGATTCGAGCGATTTAAGTGTGGGTTGAGGCGACACAAACCAGGTAGCGGAGTTCATAATAAAGCGACGGCGTGTTTGCCGTAACGACGAAAAAGGGGGAGACGGAAATCGTCGTGCCAATATTTTTTGTCCAAGATGTTTCGGGTGTCCAAAATGCTGTGGGCATCTCGTAGCCATTATCTAAAACTCCTGGCAGTCTTCTTTGTTGGCATGGGCCCTGGCTAAATAAAACTGGGGGCTCCCTGTCCAATTTGCCCCCCCTTCCGTCGTGGCCCATCACCCGAGTCCCTCGGAGACAAATGGGACCCAGTTGCACCCCGCCTGCACACTTGGGCGGTAGCTGCACCACTGGCTGCTCATGACCGTATTTAAATACAGGCAGTCCCCGCGTTACGGAAGGGTTCTGTTCCCGAGAAACGATCCGTAACCGAATTTTCCGTATGTTGGAAACTGAACAATTTTCCCCCAAAATCAACGAAAAAATCCCATAGCCGCTAATAGTTGTGCCTCCCCTACCCGATTTGTAGTTATTTTTCTCTCAGTCAATAACGCATCGCGCTGTCGTTCATATTCTATCACGACCTGTATCGTATCGCTGTACATACGCTCTGCACTTCCTGCGAGTCTTTAATTTCATCGAATATCTACCGTAACACTACCCATTATTGAACTAATGGAACATTTACTGCATCCAATTGTTTATGAATGCCACGAAACATTTAAATATTTTTGCTGTTAACAGAAAGCTGTCACCTCCGAATGTTCGTGTTTACTGTGCATTCTTAGGCCTTAGACTTGTCTGATCGCTGTTGGCTGAGACCATAGGCAATCGAAGTGTAATTGTGTTAAATAAACTAGCAATAGAAACGTGGGAGAACAAAGAGTTATAAGCATAGAAAACAAACAATGACGTAGTTCTATAAAAGGAAAATAATTATGTAACGCTACAAAAAATTATATTTATAAAGTCGAATTTCCGTAAGTCGGGTTTTCCGCAACCTGGGAACTTACTGTACAAGATTTCCTCCCAAAGGCTTCTGCTGCATTTCGACGTGATGCTCAACGACAAAGAACTACTGAGATCAATTCAGTCATTCACCGATGCCGAGAGAGTAGCATCCACGCCTTCATTTCACCTCGACCGGACGACTGTGACGCTCCGTTTTTGCTGCGCTTACAAAGTCGTACCTTACCACGGCTGCAGCTCGTGCAGAATTCAGCCACGAGGGTTTCTCAACATATCAAGACAACTCCTGTGCTGGCATCTCTGCACTGGCTTCCCTCGAAATACAGACCTGATTTTCACAAACTCACGTTACTCAAATTTAAAGCACTAAATTGAATGGCGCCAGATTACTTTTTCAGGGTTCTTATCTCCCTATCAGCCTGCCTCAGCGTGCGCTGAGGTCAGCTGGTAGTGGTGACCCCTTAGTCTGCATCCCGAGGGTCAGGATCGGCAGGAGAGAGGACAGGAGGAGGCTCTGTGTCGGACTCGACGACTGTGGAACTCTGTGCCCCATCGCACCAGAGGTTCTATGCCCACATTGGCTACATTTCATTCAAGGCTTGAGGCCGATTTGTATAATTTAGCCTTTTTTTATTTTATTTTCGCCTCTTGGGTTCATTGTACTGTTTTATTAATGTTTCCTTCCCTATGTATTTTCTATATTATTTATTATTACAAGCGAGTTTTTTACATTTGTATTTGCATTTGTTTTTATCTTAACTTGTGTGAACTTTGGGGCACATAAGGCATTCTGTAAATAAAAATGATGATTATTATACGTGGCATAAGAACATACGGGGCTTTGTTATCCGACCCGCATGTCACTTTCATGACCACGTACATATTAACGGAGATTCAGTTCGCATTTTAAGCTTGCGGCAGCAGCGAACAACCAGTGGATGCTGTCTAACCAACTTGTATAATAAATAATGTGCATAACATCACTTGCTGTGGATGATCGCTATCGATAATGTCGTTAAATTCTGCAAACGTGTCGTTATTCTGGAAACGCAGAGCTCTCGCGTTATAGATTCCTCTGCAGTACCGCATTGCAATGTCTGTTCATTTCAATATCCCCATGTTTTACTGTCGGTCGATTTCATTATGATAAGTGCCGCTCATCCTGACCGTATAACTACACACGTTAGATCCAGAGCTTCATTTCAGCCGGGTCTGTCCATGTCAACCAGCCGGAAAATATTTCCACAACTGGAACACGTACTCTTTGGTTCTTTCGGTAAAGTCACGTAGGTATAAATAAAATAAAACACCTACGTGATTTTGCCGAAAAAAACAAAGAGTATGGATTCCTGCAGTCACGAAAGCTTCAAAACTGGACCACGATAACCGGTATACCCCTCGCTATGGTGTGGCCACTCGTCAGGTGCCATCCACACTGATCGACCGACGACCTGGGAAATTTTCAGTGAGGAATAAAAGCTCTGCTTACGAGTGGTTATCTGTCAAAAACTGTGGTGAGATTGTTTAAAAAAAGTTATTATGAAAATGCAGAGCTCTCGTTCTAAATACCTCTGCAATATCCGTAAATATCGCTGGCTCAATCTAATAGCCCCGTTTATTTCTTACTCTCAGTCCTATTTCGTTTTGATAAACGCCACTAATTCCAACCATTGATTGTGAGTCAAGATGAATGCAGTCTCTTACGTCAAATAAAAGTGGCACTCGTTAAGACCAGCGTCTGTTTGCATCTTTTTCCATTTTAAAACAGCACAGCGTGCATGTGGCCGGGTGGCTCCGAGGTCAGAGCACCAGGCTGGCACCACTGAGGTCATGGGTTTGAATCCAGACAGCCCGCCAGTGATTAATCCAGGTTATCAAGCGTAGTGATTTCATGATCTCAGCTCGGTCACCGATGACTGTACACTAACAATACCCATCACGTTAACAATGGTCCTGCACTTAATTTAGATCAATTCCAACTCTAAAAAAAATAAATTTTGGTACGACTGCCATGCAATGAGCATTACTCTCATGTGCAGAACATGTGGGAAAATGCTGCCCCCTCCTATGTGGACCGCAGGTCACTGAATAGGATCTCGGCGGTAACTCTGTGATATCCATTTCCCTGGTATGTTCTCACGTGAAGTGCTGCACTGTTCTGTGAGAGATCTGAAAGGATACTTCAACCTCCGCACTGTTATTTTGTTCATCAAATTAGTGATGAAAATATTCAACGAGATGGGTTTGTTTAGTCAACTCTGACTGAATGGATAAAAATGACCAAGCATGACGATGATTGATTACCGAATTGCACTAACCACTGCGCCACCACTCAACAACAACAACAGCACGAAGTGGCGGTGACGTCACCGCGGCGCTTGTGCCAGGTCAGGTGCACTTTGAGGCCACGTGAAGTACCGAAGGCTCACTGACAGGAGGGCACGGGACAGACTCAGGTGCCATGGGTTGACTGACTGAGATGACTGGCAAATGCACCACTTGTGCCCCCTACTATACCAACAACTCCCAACATGCACACACGCATGTCCACACACATGCGCACACTTGTACAAAGACATACCCACAGGCAAACCCATGCACATACGTACGCGCGCCCACTTGCAGACACGCATGTGCACACACATGCACGAATACAGCGTTTTTGCGTGAACATTTCACAAATAAGAGTGGACTACACGTTTGACTCTTTGGTCAACTAGGCTAGGAGTCTTGACAAAATTTTCACAGGTTGCCATCAACTATACTAAGCCTGGAACTAAAATGAGAAAAGATGGTGACGAGATAAACCACCGGTCTCATGGAATGCCACCGGCGGCACAACCAGATCAAATGTAGAGAAAGATTTTTGAATGCCAAACAAGAACCAGCCCAGCCACAGTGGCTCCTTTGGCACCCCTGCCTCGATGTCGGATACGCTTTTCAAAGACTGCATTATGATTAATGTTGAATGTAATGTTGTTACAACCCAACATCACACACGTATTTAAAGCTCATGGCTGCGTTGGCAGCGTTGGACCGCCGGCTAATGCAGTGCGCATTAGCGAGTTACGATTTCCGATCATTTGTTGCTAGCGGAATTGATGGGGCATTATGATCTAAACGCTAATTCCCACATTGATCCTTAAGTGACTGGCTGACGCAGGATAATTCCTGTAGCCCTATAAGACGTCCCAAGGACACCTTGCAAAGTGACGAATTAAAATAGCAGTAATTATAACAATGTCATTAGTTTAAACCAGGAAAGCCTGAAATGTACCAAAAATCTAATTCGCCTAAATTAAAAACAGTATGCTTGCACGCGCGATTTGATGTATGCATATATACTGAACCTTGAGGAATCGATATTAATTGATGCACTGATCATCATCAGCCATGAACAATCCACTACTGAAATAAAAGTGTCCCTCCCCAAGCCGTCGCGATGTAACAATCCACCATGTATCGGCATGAAGCAATATAATTAGAAAACGAATCAGGACATCGCAACAAGTAACTTATTGATGGCACCATTACCAGTAATGTAAGTATGAAATCTACAAAAAGGTTGATTTGCAATTCGCAACTGGTCGCCCTTTTGTGAAGACACATTGGAACCATAACACATGTGCGTGTGCAACCCTTGTCTCAATCCACTGCTAGATTGGGGACTTCACCACGCTATGGGTATCATGGGGGTATGTGACCATACTTCACCACGCTGCTCAAGGGGGAGGTGATGACGTGGTGGGGGGGGGGCAAAGACGAATGGATGTTGCACCACTGCCCTCTGCTGACATCGTGGACCTGCAGAAGCTTACGCCAGCTGTACCAGTGGTCCCTCGGTTAACGATGTCAATTGGTTCCACGATAAATCGTCGTTAATTGAAGTTATCGTTAATCGAGTGTGGGAAATGCATGTTCAAGGCTCAATTTGTTCCAAGACGATGGGAAGTTGAGCTTTTTCACCCTAAAAACACAGTTGATAATATTTAAACTCGCAATTTTAATCAATAAACGTGAAAGAACATTAAATCATTCATATGGATAGAAACGTGGATAAAATAAAAATGTGCATGAATAGAGCATAAAATAACAATTCTTATCTTAGGCTAAGAAGATGGATTGCTGAGGTTTCCTGCTGAGTCCACGGAGGAGCGCTCCAATTGGCCGAAATTGGCGGGTCCGCGTAGTATCGTAAACACATCGTTAATAGAAAATGTCTCGTTATTAGAAACAATGGGACTCTATGGGAGGCGAATCGTTAATCGAAATATCGTTAATCTATGGCACCGTGAACCGAGGGACCACTGTATAGTCATCATCCAAGCACTCAACCCTGCTCTAATTTTCATATTATTTTACAATCTTGCAGACCCAATTCGGTGTATTAATAATGTATCGTTTCGAATCTTGTCAGTCTCTCTGATTAAAACTGCGGGTGTAATAGCCATACCACACAACGCGCTATATCTACTTCAGAGTGGACGTTAAAGAGATTGTGACGCCAGTTGCAAGAGTAGGTGCACCAGCGTCCTCATCCAAATTTGCAAAAAATGCATACCGGCCAACCCCTTATCGATACTTACTTTAATACAGACCAATTCAGACCTTATTGGTCACCCCGTGCCCTCTATAAATATCAACGTTCAGGGGAGAAACACAAACAAATAGACAACCCATGTTTTTTGCCCGTATTGAAACCCGCTGTACGCCGTATGGACCTGAAAACTCAATTTCCCTGGACAAGAGTACGGGGTAAACCGTGTGGGTTGACAGGTACGGGAATATATCGCAACCATCGGCACCCAACTGCAAAAACACTCGGAATGACCCTCCTGAAAGTCATGATACCCTGAGAGACTTTCCTGGTCAATAAACGCAATACAATCAGAAACCATATTAATCGATATTATGCTAGAGGAAACCGATGACCTATGAACTCTTTTCCGCAGATGTCCATTAGGGGCGGGTAAGAACGTCACAACAACAAACAGTACAACACACACCATAGTCGTGCAAAGTACAAGAAAGGTGAACAAATCTCCCAACACACAAACACAATACAACACTAAACCATCGTCATCCTACCCAGTAAAGCCCACCGAGGTATTAACTTATTTTTCAGAAGCGACCTGGTCACAAATGATAGGTCAACAAAGTGGCCCATCATTTGGACATTTATAGCAGCAAATTAATCTAAAGAAAAATGTAATATGCGACGTGTTGGACAATGCCCCTTTTTCGTAGAACATGGGTAAACTTGTCAAATGTAGCTGGCAACATCCCAGAAAATATGAAATGTTGTTGGGTCAAAGGTTCGAACGACCCCACATCGCTGTCCCAACAATGCCCCCAACGGTTCCAACCACGTGTCAATGTTGGGCCAACATTAGCGCAAAGTCGCAGGTCAACGTCGGCTCAACGTCAAGGGTCAACGTCGGCCCAACGTCTGTGGTGATACCTGTCAACCCATACGATTTACACGTATTCTTGAAGAGGGAAATTGAGTTAAAGAAAACATTGGGCTCGCGTTCACGATGCTCGCAGCGTTGGTGGGGCGTGGCATCTGAACTCTTCTGGGCCCCATCTACAAAACTGTCAACCCGTATGGTTTACCCCGTATTGTTGTAAAGGGAAATTTGGTTTTCAGGTCCATACGGCGTGCAGCCGTCTCAATGCGGGCAACACACTAAAACAAATTATTTAAGTTATCATTGTGTTGCCTCCGAAACGTCGTGATTTTTATCTTTTATTTTTATTTTACTTTTATTAATTTTAATTTTTTACCTACGTGACTTTGCCGAAAAAACCTAAGAATATGAATCCTTGCAGTCACGAAAGCTTCAAATCTAGAATATTTAAGTTCTCCCTTGTGATGGGACTTTGTAGGATGAACGTTGAGATTCATAAGGGGCACGGGGTGACCAATAAGATCTGAATTGGTTTGTAATAAGGTAGGGCACTGATAATGGGTTGACAGGTATGGGCGTCAACGTCACTGCAACGTCGGGAACGACGTCGAGGACCAACGTTGACGCAACGTCGGGTCCATGTTTACGAGGAGGGGGATGTGGGGGGGGAGGGGGATGTGGGGGGGGAGGGGGATGTGGGGGGGGGGTGTGGGGGGGGTGTGGGGGGGGTGTGTGGGGGGGGGTGTGGGGGGGGTGTGGGGGGGGGTGTGGAGGATGTAGGAGGAGGAGGAGGGGGGGTGGAGGGGGATGTAGGAGGGGTGGAGGGGGTGTGGAGGAGGAGGGGGGGGGTGGAGGGGGGGGGTGGAGGGGGGTGTGGGGGAGGAGGGGGGTGTGGGGGGGGGACGAGGGGGATGTGGGGGGGGGACGAGGGGGGTGTGGGGGGGACGAGGGGGGTGTGGGGGGGGTGGAGGGGGGTGTGGGGGGGGATGTGGGGGGATGTGGGGGGGGGGCGAGGGGGGTGTGGGGGGGGGACGAGGGGGGTGTGGGGGGGGTGGAGGGGGGTGTGGGGGGGGTGGAGGGGGGTGTGGGGGGGGTGGAGGGGGGTGTGGGGGGGGTGGAGGGGGGATGTGGGGGGGGGGCACCCCTCCAGTGCGGCGGTGAGAGCGCTGTGGGGCAGCCATGCACACGGACGCGTCCGAGGCGGTCCGCGGCCTCATCAAGAAGAAGGACGACGTGGAGGCGCAGATCAAGGCCCTCCACGAAGTCCTCGAGTCGGTAATATTACTTCTGGTCGAATTTAATAAATACTACGTAAGTTTAAACACCGGTCTTTAAAACAGCACACAACAGCGAACGGCGACTTTGAAGTGAAGGCCCCGTGCCGTTTACGTGGCGTGGTGATTGGGGAGTGCGGCGAAGCGCTTATGCGGTGTTCGTTTAAATCTTTACGATCTTAAGCGAAGTTCTGTTGATCGATAACTCTTGCTGACGACCGAAGTGCCTCGTTCGGTAGCCGTGGCGCTGAGGCATTGCCCTCCTGGTCGAGTTTATACCCCAACTATTAGTTGCCGTTTTCGATTCTCAGGTTTCTTTGTTTTGCGTTTCTTAGGTTCCTACGCGTGTGTACAATGACTCTTAAAAGTCAAATTCAACGCTTAATCGGCGTGAGAACACGCTGTCTAAATGTACAACGCTCTCACAAGGGTCATTTAAAACGGACTGACGCTTTATTATGCTCTTGTCTAAATTTCTTAAATTCCCAATGCGTTCAGTACTGCGAGCGGTGGCGCAGTGGTTAGCGCACTGCACTATAAACCCAATCGGAGACACGCGTTCGATTAAACGGCCCCGGTAAACATCAACGGCGAAGAGTGGGATCTAAAACTTAAACATTTTATTTCACCAGGTAAGCCCCCACTGAGCTGTATAACTCTTTTTCAGAAGCGACCTGGCAATCACAAATTATAGCTCAACGAAGCGTCCTATTGCATGGAAATGTATAGCAGCCAATGTTCTAAACGCGTGATGTTGGGTCTATATGTGGAGGGGAAAACCGGAGGACCCGGAGACAAATCCACGCAGCCACGGGAAGAACATGGAAACTCCAAATATACAGCAGCAGGTATCAGAGTCGTGATCGAACCCACGACCTCCTGCACACCGGGCGAGGTAGTTAACATCTCCTAGCCACCGTGACGCCCATCTGATCCTGCGTCTTCACCATGACCGACGGGACGTACAGAGGCCCTCATCCAGGAATAGATTGACAAAGGCTGGAACAACTTTTTGTTGTACTGTCTTTGCCTCGCTTCTACCGTCTGTAATCGATGCAGATCTCTGTCAACCTTAGAGTCGTTTTTGATCGATAGGAAACGCAATTCGCCTATCACGTTTTCGCCGCTCTGGCTCTCAGGTTTGTGGATTTCTCGACGCTTTCCTGGTTCGCTCTCCACGATTCCTCAGTTTTCGGCGATACCGCAACCACCTTCCATTTTGGGTTAGGTCGCGTAAATATATAAATGTGTCGTTAAACCCGCCACCACCCGACACAGCCAACTAGTAAGGTTTGTCACGTAAACAGAACGTGCCAATTCCTTTCTAGTACAGCAACACACCGGTGTGTTGGAGAGCAAAGCCACAACATTTACAATCTGAGTACGACGTTTCGCCAATAATTACAACTAGCATCATCAGGCGACAGTCAGATTTGGTTTCCCTGACTCTGTGTCACTGTGTCGTTCATCAGCAGGGCAATGTGGGGATGAAGGGGGAGCTTGTGGATGCCGAAGGCTTTCCACGCAACGACATCGATGTCTTCCAGGTCCGCACGACGAGGCACAGCATCATATGTGAGTATGCTCATCCACACATCCGTGGACGGTTACACAAATCTCATCAACAGCCACACCGGCCTGGCTTTTAATTTCCTATCTTAAAGTTTCCCCACCATCAGACTTTCCCCTTATTCACTGCCCTCCGCATGTTACTCCGGCGCCTAACTCCAACATGCCCTTGTTATTGGGGGAGATTGGCAACAATATCAGTAGGAGGATTCTGAAATTAGTGACCAGATAGGCTCAGGTCCAGAATTATGGGATTCCTCGTATAATTCCAAGTACCAAAGGCTGTTGAACCTCCATTAGAGAGACACTGACACCGCAACAGGGTAGTGGACCTTCGGGAGCCAAAGACATCAACAGACACTACGAGAAGTAGCTACTACTCAGTGTCCTACGAGCCACTAACTATAAAACTATGACTTAAAGTATCTAACAAACTAAAGGAAATACCACCAGTTACAGGACAAAATAACCCACCGCACTCAGGGAACAGAAGCTGAGATGTGTAAAACCTCGTGCCAGGGCTTGTGTTCTGCTGTAAACCAGCTCCTGATATCTGACAAGATCAGGTGCATTCTGGGTAATTTGGTCCTGAACTTCCTAGTCCCTGTGTGCAACTCCGGACAGTGCTTGAAAGCCCCCTGCCCCCTCCCCCGCCCTCCTCCGCGTGTTCTGCATGCAGGCCTACAGAACGACCACAAGGCGCTGATGGCCGACATTGAGGAGGCGCTGCACAAGTTGCACGCTCACCAGCGCAAGAAGCACGAGAGGGACTGCATGGAGACGCAGGCCGCAGCGGCCCCAGCTGTGGCCTTCGCCCGCGTTGACACCGTCTCTCCCGGCTCGCCGGCCAGCATGGCTGTACGTTGTGGCTCGTGGCGGGTGGAGGCATTTCCTGGGTCTCCTGTGTGTTATTTTGTGTGTCCTGTGTATAGCTTGCTTGTGTGTACCGTGTACTATCTTGCTTGGGAATTCTGTGTTTACTGGCTTGTGTGCTGTGTACTAGTTTGCTTATGTCTCCATTTGAGTGTTGTGAGTTTAATACTTCCCGCATGACAGTAAATGTGCTCATGGTCTCGCTGTGTGATGCCACAATCCACTGCTCGTTTTACCCACCGTTGTGGCATGCAGGGCTTGCTGCCGGGGGATGAAGTCGTCACGTTTGGCTCCGTGACCCCGCAGAACTTCCAGAACCTGCAGAACATCGCCACAGTCGTGCAGCACAGCGAGGGGGTACGCAATCGCCTGTTTAATTATAACACATTCTGTTATTTTTGAATTCATGCCATTATTTGTATGCAATGCTGTCACGAAAGCACTATGTTTCACAGATGGGAATAATCTGTGTAATTATTATTATGCTTGTTTACCCAGGACAGCCTCACTGAGTCTCATGACCTTGTCAGAAGGGTCTCTGCCAAGCTTTGCAGTAGGGGTTAATGATTGCTTTGTATAATTCCAGTTGAGTCATTTGAAATAAATAAATTGTTGCGAATTTGGACTGACGCAGGAGCACACAGGATGCTATTTTTCTAATTACATCACGGGATCTTCAACATTCACTGTGAAGCAGACGCTCTGTATTTATGGTCAGTGTATTATGGTCATGATGGCACCGTAATGCCGTACGCCCATGATTCTCGATGTTTTAAGTTGGACATCTCAATTTTAAACGTTGGAAGTTGTGTGATTACCTATGTTTTGTACAGTCACGCCTGTGACCAAATCACACAGAATGCGCCCAATCTCGACAGATCTTTAAAGCTAAGCAGGGTTGTTTCTGGATAGTGCTTGGATGGGTCACCATGTATAAGACAGGTGTCAGCCTCCCCTGGGATACTTCGTGGTCAGCAGAGGGCAGGGCAGCAACATCCATTGCTCTGTAGATGTATGCTCCCGTGTCTATGCTCCCCCTCTTCATCAACTCACACTTGCCAGCATGGTGATGTATGGTCAAATCATCCTCAGGACATGCACTCACGCGCGGGGAGGCTCTCACCCAACAGTATGTTGCCGAAAGAGCTGCACATGTATGGTCATGTGCGGTGGGGACATGTTTTTACGTGCTTGTTTCTTGATTCCCAAATTGCCGGAGCAGAAGCCACTCAGGGTGTCAGTGCTGCGAGGCGGCAGCTTGGTCACCTTGACCCTGACCCCGCAGCGTTGGAGTGGACGGGGCCTGCTGGGGTGAGTTTGACAGCAGAACCCATTGACTGACTGGGGAAGACCTTCATCCAGCAGTCGAGAAATCATGGCTTGTATATGAGTACTAATGCAGATGTTTAATTTGACTTCACCACCTAAGTGGAAAAACCTAGTCGTGTTTTTTTTGCAGAGGACTATAACCATAAATGATAATAATTGTGATCACTAATGTGGATGTAATGCTTCTTCCTCTACACAATTCAATTAATGGCCATGATTCTCCTTAATGGTGGGAACATTTACTCTGCCTATTGACTAATGTGCAAAGTCAAGCACAATCAATACGAACCATTTTAATAACATACTCCATATTTACTCTTTGGTTCTTTCGGTAAAGTCACGTAGAAAGAAAAAATAGCATACGACGTTTCGATTGCAACACAAGCAATCATCATCAGGTACAAATTAAAGAGAAAACAAACCGGGTAAACTTAGAAATATAATGCAGTCGGCTAACATAACAGTCAACACCCTACCTGGTTGGCCTATGTGTGCGTCTCTCTCTGTGAATGTCTCTCTGTGTGTCTCTGTGCTATCTCTCTGCTTATGTGTCTGTCTGTGTGTCTCCGTGGCTGTGTTTTGTCTCTCAAATTTAGCAATCTTTGGAAGAATGTAATCAACCAGGTAGGGTGTTGACTGTTATGTTAGCCGACTCTGTGTTGTATTGCATTATATTTTTAAGTTTACTAAGTTGTTTTTTCTTTCATTTGTACCTGATAATGATTGCTTGTGTTGCAATCGAAACGTCGGCATGCCATTGTTTAATTTTTTTTCTTTCTACGTGACTTTGCCTAAAGAACCAAAGAGTAATTCCTGCAGTCACGAAAGCTCCAAATCAAGTTTGATACTCTATATTTGTTTAATACATTTATTTGCATTGCTTGTTTTGTATTAATACATTGTGATGTTTTAAAGTATTGTGTTGTTTTTGAAATACAGAGTAGAATTTTGCTAATGAGACTTAAAAACTTTCTAAACACGGATTGCTCTTTAGAATTGGTTAATTAAGTGGCATAGTTATCAAGTGTGGTGGCGGTGGAATTGAACTTGTGGCCAAGGGCTGCTGAACACCTGTGAAAAAGAGCTTCATAGATCATCAGATTCCGCCAGTATAAACCAAAAAATCTGATTTTGAAGGTCTGCAGGGGCTCAAGGGCCGGAGGGACCTGGGTACCAGGCCATGGAGAGAGGGGGAATTGAACAAGAGACCCCATTTCATTCCTTGAACCAGGGTGCATGGCAACCTCGCTACTTCTTGTTCGTTCGTTTCTCATTCCGCTTGTCCTGGTGAGGGTCGTGGCGGCAGCATGTTGAGTAGGATGGTCCAGACCTCCCTTTCCCTGGCGACAGACTCTAGCTCTTCCTGGGGAATTGCCAGGCGTTCCCAGGCCAGACAGCGACATCGTCCTGCCAGCGTGTCTTGGACCGGCCCCGATAATGTGAAAAAATAAATTCCCAAACATTACACACTTAATTCAGTGTGAGCACAAGACGTAATACGTGGGTGTTTACATTAAATGCATGCAGACTTATAATTAACGCAATACTTTGATATGTTTGTTGATTTTAATAAGAATGTTAACACTTGTGTTTATCATTTTTTATTTCACAGCTGCAACATTCTTCCCATGGCACGGTGATAATTTTGACAGATTTATTTTTTTGCTGCAGGATGGAATATATGCACAAATATGGGATTGCTTTTTTCCAAGGTGTAACAAAAAGTTCTGTAATGTATTGAAATAGTTTAAAGTGTGGTATCAAATATTTACTATGTGCATATAACTTCAACACGGACGTGTCTCGTGCTCTTCACAGTGTGGAAATATTGTCTAATAAATGCTTCAATTACTTTAATCTGTGCTGATTTGTGAACTTATTTGCTCATATGTGTGGTTTTTAGTGGTGGTACTGACCGATGGTTGCCCCAAAGAAGAAACTATTTTTAAATCCTTTATATTAAGTTCGCTTGCTTGCTTGCGTGCTTGCGTGCTTGCTTACGACCGTGCAAACCTTTTGGTCGTTTTTTAACCCACTTCCCGTGATCCAATCGAGCTGACATTTTGCACACAGACTCGTTGTGCGAGACAATTAATGTTCGTGAAATTTTTTTTCCAAATTTTTACACTGTTTAGGGAAAACAAATTAAATATTTAATTACCAATTGCTTAATACTGGCAGACAATCATCTGACCCATAGGTGGCAGCCATCTCAAGCCAGAGGACGAGAGGACTCTAGCCGCCACGCATATAAAGGATTTAGAGTGAAAAACTTTGTTTTTACGGGTTATACTTATTGGGTACCTTCGTTTCAATGTATAAACTCCGAGGGAAATGGCAGAAGAGACCGACAAGAGAGATTTCACGAGATGAGAGAAATGCGGACAAATGCAAGAGGTATACTTATATGAGAGAAGGTGCAGATGAGACAAGCTGAGTGAAATTATAGATGTAGACAAGGAATGGATGTAGTGAGATGAGAGAAGAGGTACAAGATAGATGAGAGCTAGGAATTGGTTCATTATATATTCATTGGCTTGCTCTAATTAGGATTAAGTTGGACATTTGAATCTGGGACCACGAGTTGCTTTTAGGGCCATAACGATTGTGCCTAGCGTCACCACACATGGGTTTTCTCCAGACTCCCAAAACCACCTGGGCTTTGAAGTGGCCATGAAATGGTGGTACAATAGGTGGGTTCATTAAACTACCAGATGTTCTCGCCAATGGCCCTGTTAAGATATGGATCCTACGTTGAAGAAATGTCTGTTTTTCCCTTGTGATGTTTTTTTAGGATGAACATTGAGATGCATCAGGGCACACGGGGTGACCATCACGTTCTGAATTTGTCAGTAACAAGGCAGGGCACCGACAAGGGGTTGACAGGTTTGGTTAGACTCTGGTTCTTTCGGTAAAGTCACGTAGATATAAACAATAATACTGGTAGGAACCTCCTGGTTCCACCAGCCCACAGGGGATTATTGTGTCCGTCCGTCGTGCATCCAAAAATGGGAGGGGTGGGGCTGGGTAGAGAGGGGCTGGGTGGGGTGGGGCTGGGTTGGGTTGGGTGGGGAGGGGCTGGGTGGGGGGTGGGAGGGGTGGGGCTGGGTGAGGAGGGGAGGGGTGGGGGCTGGGTGGGGAGGGGCTGGTCACCCCGTGGTGCCCTTATAAAACTCAACGTTTAACCTACTCACGCCGGCTTGTGCCCGCACTCACAGTCGGGCATATTTGCGGAATACACCACGCCGCCGTTAACCCTGGCCATTGACCGAGCAACCCAACGTTCCTACCAGCTCCCTCCGCAGGAGGAATGTGTTAAAATAAAGCACGACGTTTCGGTCGCAACACAAGCGTCCGTCTTCAGGTGAGAAACAACGATCTGCTGTTGTGGCTTTCTATAGGCACGTGGAGGGAGTTTGGCTGTTGGAGTTCACAGGGGAGAGGGTTTGTGGCGTGCATGGACGGGTGGTGCTCGAGAAATTAGCAAGTCAATGGACTTGTCGTTCAAGTCGTAAAATCGGAGGACGACAACCGGTTGGGTGGGCGAGTGAGGTATGAGGTTATACAGCACAAGACCCTCCGACCATTATAGAAACGGAGTGGTAGCTCCTGCAATCTCTCATTTATTTGATACAGCTGTCGTGGCTGTGACGGTACCACCTGAAGACGGAAGCTTGTGTTGCCTCCGAAACGTCGTGATTTTTATTTTATGTTACTTTTTAATGTTTTTACCTACGTGACTTTACCGAAAAAACCTAAGAATATGAATCCTTGCAGTCACGAAAGCTTCAAATCTAGAACTACCGTGGGAATTCTAGATTTGAAGCTTTCGTGACTGCAAGGATTCATATTCTTAGGTTTTTTCGGTAAAGTCACGTTGGTAAAACATCGAAATTGTGATCTTTATTTTATTTTTATTAATTTTGATATTTTACCGACCGTGGGAACTTCTCGTCGGTGTTTTACGAAACGCGATTTGAGTGGCGGCCACCGTAGCGCCGCGGGTCCCCCCCGTGATGTCACTGTGTGGGGTGGGGGGGGTCAGAGGTCGGACGCACGCGCCCTGGGTGCACGTGTGGGGCGGTAGCCGGCGCGACTCCACGAGGCGACCCCAACTCCCTCGGGCTGCTACAACTCCACAAACTACAACTTCGCGCACACCTTCAAAGCGTTCAACGTCACATTCGACGCACGCACGCACTGAACGCCGTCGTCGTCGGCGGCTCCCGCGCACGAGGATGCGACGCGGGCCGAGGTCGGCGCTTCGAGACGAGGCAGCAGCAGCAGCAGCCGGCGGCGGCAGCAGCAGCCGCATCTCCTCCTCCTCCTGCTGCGTCCAAGTGACCTTGGTGCGGCGCGGCTCGGCCTCGTAGGTGAGGGGGGTGGGATGTTGAGACAGAGACGCCGAGCCGGGCCCCTTGCTGGCCTCTTGGCTCGACGCGGGCTGCGGCTGACCCGTCCGGAGCTGTGCCTGGCCAGCCCCGCGCTTTACACTGCCCGATCTGGCCCTTACCTGAGGTGGTCGACCAAGGCTGTACCTGACCCGGGCTTTACACGATCTGTCCCGGGCTTTACCTAACCAGACCCGGGCTGTACCTGACCCGATCCGACCTGGGCTTTAGCTGACCCAACCAAGGCTGTACCTGACCCGACCCGGGCTTTACACGATCTGTCCCGGGAATTACCTAACCCGGCCTGTGCTTTACCTGACCTTTACCTGGCCTGCGCTTTACCTGACTTGTTCTAGACTTTACCTAACCCCGGCTTTACCTGACCACGGTAGAATATTAACCGACCCGTAACCGGTTTCGTAAACACTTTTAAGGCACATTTTGCTTCACACCAATTATAATATTGTAATAATTCTTACAGCCTCCTTTGTCAATCATATGGTAAATGAAGGCCTCCCTGCGCCGTTTCGGTGTGATTGAACATGCTCTTTGGTTATTTCGGTAAAGCCACGTAGTTAGAAATAAAATAAAACAAATCACGACGTTTCGATCGCAACACAAGCAATCGTCGGAGCTAGCTTTTTTTCTTTCTGTAGATGTCCAACCTGATGACGATTTCTTGTGTTGCGATCGAAACGTCGTGATTTGTTTAATTTTATTTCTAACTACGTGACTTTACCGAAAGAACCAAAGAGTATGGATTCCTGCAGTCACGAAAGCGTCAAATCAAGAGTGATTGACCATACTTGGGGATTGTTTCACCATACTTCACCACACTGGTCAGTGCGGGCTGGGGAATTGGACGGCGGTGATATTGGGGTGACGCAGCCGACATGACCGGTTCGGATATCACTGATGTTAGCCTTGGTCAGGAATCGAACTTAGGTGGGGACGGGTGCATACCGCGGTGCACTGCCAACTGTGTGACCGCTCGATCATTGACACCGATTTAGCCTGGGAAATGTTCACGATAGCGTTTTTACACAAACGACCAGCTAGATTTTACTCGACCTAGCCTTGCCCTTGAACCTGATCAACCCGGGTCTTTTCTCCCGCCCTCGCTCAGGTCTTCACCCTACTCAGCCAAGGCTCCTAGCCAGCATGGCGTCGCTCGGGAGCCGGCAACTCCTCCTGACTCTTGCTGTGGCTACAAGGCGTCGGATGCCACCCTCCTCGGTCATTCGTGTCCGGGCGTCCACGGCGACAAGCGGCCGCAATATTGACGGGGAAGTTGTAATTGACGGGCTCGGTGGTCCTAGTCTCTACTCGTGTGCCAAGCATCGTCTTCACCCAAAAGCAGCTCCTTCTCGTACCTCCCAGACGCTCGGGAACTCGGCTACTCGGGTGCCCGTTGTGATGCCGAGGGACTGCTCGATCCCCCCGTCCAGGAGCTACTCACTGAGCAGCAGGAGCGCCACGTCAGAGCTAGACGCGGTGCAGCAGGTCCTGTCCGCCTCGGGCCATGTGTGGAGGGAGGAAATGGACGAAGCCGATTGCTACGACCCCCGTGTGGACCCGCGCCGTTTCCAGCGCGTGTCCGACGACTACGTGGAGCTGTGCTGCTGCCCCGAAGACGCGGGGTCGGCTCCGGTGTCGCTGGACGAGGCGCAGGCCGTGCTGGCTGAGCTGCTGTGCAGGCGGGAGCACGCCCACGCCGGCGAGCTGCTCGTCTGCCTGCAGGCCGTCGGCGGCGTAGAAGCCTGGTACCGCCGGACCCTGCACAGGGACGGCCACTTCAAAGTTCTCCTCGGCCTAGTGTCGAGCAAGGTGGGCGACATGAACGACCAGGAGCTGGTGGACACCCTGACGGTGCTCTGCCGCACCGGACTGAGCCCCACGCACCCCCTGTACGCCAAGTGCGAGGCAGAGCTGTGCCGCCGCGCCGACGACATGAGCTTGGAGCAGCTGCTGCTGGTGGCCGACGTTTGGAGGCTGGTCGGCTACCGCGCACCTCGCTTCCTCGAGCTTCTGTTTGCGCGCGCGATGCGGGACTGGGCCGGGCTGAGCCGGCCCTGCACGGTGCAGCTGCTGTACATCGTGGGCGAGAACCGCGGCGCGCCGGATGGCCTCGTGAACAAGCTGGAACAGCTGGTGGTGCGGCACGTCGGCGAGATGACTGCCGAGGAGGTAGGTGCCAGCTGCCTCGCGTTCTTCAAGTCGCGCCACAAGGTGTCGGCGCAGACGATGCAGCAGATCGGCGACAAGGTGACGGCCGAAATGCGCAACATCAGCAACTTCGGTCTCATCGGGGTGCTCAAGCTGTTCCGGCTCACGCACTTCGACCACGTGCCCTTCCTCCGACGCATGTGCACTGTGGTGCCGACGCGCTTGCCCGACCTTGGGGTACAGGGCGTGATGCACGTGGCACTCGCCTGCGCCGCGCTGCACTACCTGGATGAGCCGCTGATGCGTGCCTTGGCGGTGCAGGTGAAGAAGCGCTCCAGCTTCGGCCGGAGCAAGGACCTCGCCAAGCTGCTGTGGGCATTCGGGTCGCTGGCGTGCGAGCTGCCAGGCGCCACTGAGGACATGTATGCTGCGCTGGTGCAGCTGCTGCGGGAGCGCAGTGCGCAGTTTGAGCGCTACCCCCGGCACATGGTGACGGCGCTGCTGGCGCTCGCGTTCACCGGCCGCTTCCCCCAGGACCTCTTGAACGAAGTGCTGAGCCCGCACTACAACAACCTCCTTGAGCAGAGGACCAAGGAGGAAATGAGGGCGGACCTCTACACGTTGGACGCGACGGTCGGCCTGGAGTGCCCGGGCTACGCCGGGAACCGACTGGACAGAGTCACACGGCAGGAGATGTGGCACATGATGCAGAACAAGCTGACGATGGCGGCACTGACGAGGCCGGAGGTGAGCAAGGCGCTTGAGGCGCTGGCCGTGGTGCTGGGCGGGAGCCACTTGGCACAAGCTCACGCGGTGCTCCCGCACTCTCGATCCTATGACATTGAGGTTCACTTCGACGAGAGGGGGCGGCCCGTGCCCTTTGTTGCAAAATACGTCGATGGCGAGCATTTGATGGCCATTGCCGGGAAGCAACATGAGCCGCCTCAGCGGTTTGAAACGCAGCCAAAGGAGGTGAAAATCGCAGACGAGCTCATCTCAAAGTTGTTCAGGGGAAAGAGTGCGCGTGCCACTCGCGGCGATCCAAACGTTCGCTCCCAAAGCAGCCCGCTTGTCGAGTCCCTGACCAGGGCGGCTGGCCGGGTGCCCCTCACGGCCAGCCTCGTGCAGGCGCTCACCAACAGGGAGCTGCCGGAAAGTGGAACGTCCCCAGATAGTGTCTGTGTGAATGAGCGTGCTACTTCACAATATCATCATCAGCAGCAGGGCCCTGTGAGAAAGGTGGCCATGCAAGTGACGAACCACAACAACTACCTGTACCGCATGCAGAGGCACACGGGGCTGCAAGCCATGAAGCGACGGCAGTTGCTGCTTGAGCGGCTACACGGTGGTGGAGATCCCCTACTGGGACTGGATGCCAATGCTCAATGAGCCCTTGGAGAATCGAGTGGCCTACATTGAGAGGAAACTGAATTTTTGTGGGGTGGAGTGACAGGTGTGTGAGGAGACATGAGAGGAGAAACTCGTGCCAAACAGATGTCGGCGATCAGCCGGAAGTTAAGTCCATGGGCATGTGGATAACATCTTCCAAGGGTCTTTAAGACATAGCAGTACTGACTATCAGGTTCACGGACATTGCTGTGCAAAAGCTTGGATTATTCCTGTGTATGCATGGGTTCTCTCTGTATACTCTGGTTTTCTCCCACATTCAAAAAAATGTTGGTGAAGCTTTCCTGAATAAAAATCCTTTTTTTTTTCAGGCCTTTGTCAATCCACTGCTGGATGAAGGCCTCCTCGTGCCTTGTCGATCATGGGAATTGTTTCACCAATCTTCATACTGGTGTGTGCAGGTTGGTGAAGGGTGTGGAGGAAGATGCAGGATCCTTTTACATATTGCTTGCCACTGATGTTTGCCGTGGCTGGGAATCTACCTCAGGTCATGGAGTTCATAGTTAATTCCACTAACCATGGCACCAGTGTTCCACAGAATGACACTATTTATGTATTCAAATACTACTGTCCATCCAGTGTTAATCTGTCATCACTGACCGATCAGAACACTCTCGTATTGGTCCATCATCACTGACCAGAACGCTCTACGGTGTTGATGCATCATCACGAATTGCCATATTAGAATTTCCCGCCAATGCTGGACCAGTCGGCGAGCTCAACTTGGGGAACGTGGGGCAGGTGGTGGAAACGACACGTTAAGTGGGAAATGCGTTGTATTGATTGCGTGGCTGCTTATGTGAAATATAAAGATGTTATTTGAACCCCCTTTGGTGTTGATCTGTCGGCAATGGTTGTGTGGTGCATGGTGAGTGTTGCTAGTCTGGTGGGTGAGTGGTATGAGGTTGGTGGTGAGTGGTCAGTCATACAAGGTGATTGGTGAGTTTCTAGTGAGCGGACAATGTCAGGCGAATGATGTGATGAATGGTATCAGATGAGTCATGTAAAGTGGCTGGTGAGGCTCAGGTGAGTATGAGTGATATCCATTGACTGGTAGGTGAGTTACATCACGGGAACAAAACATTGAATGTTTACATAATTGGCTGTATTACACAAGCCCAAATGACGTAGTGATGTGAGCAGATCGAGTTTTATTTTATAATATGCTTTGTCATTTCAGAAATGTCACTCAGTATGACTTCCCCAAACAGCTGTAGGCACTTGAATATCTGTTGAGCACCTATTGGCTATTGGTACTGACCAGCATCTTTCCACAGTGCATGCAGCCTGCCTGGCAGGATCTGGCCAGTGCGTTTTACTTGATCCACCATTCTTAATTGTCTGCATCGGAGCAGACGATTAAGAATGGTGGATCAGGCCGATACATCTTCATGAATCGAACAATAAAAACAAGCCACATGTCCTGGACATTCTCCTGTGAAGAAGAGCTTCATAGCTCATTGGATTCCTCCAGACTAAATAAAGATTATAATTCTGAAAAAAAATATGCGATTGTGGACATGCAATCACACTACAAACCATATAGTAGGTATGTTGAACTTATGTTGGATCATATGTAGCCAAGCATGCTCATATAAGGTGTGGGGGAAGGACCACAAACACAAAAAGCATAAAGAAATTAGTTTTTAATCTAGATGATTTAAAAGTGCATAGCTACAGTGACTTCCTAATATCGGAAGGAAGAGCCTTCCATAATGGAGGTATTTATTGGGTTAGATCGCGTACCTTCCAGTAAACCACGAGACTGCAACTTCTTCAGCAAAGGAATAGCAAACCTCTTCGAACCTGTTGCTGAAGCCCTGTCGTCGTTGTTAGGTTAGCAGATCTCAACATCAACAAGAATATATATCCATTGTAATTTATATTAATATTCATCCCTCACTGGTCTTTGCACCTGATTGACTCACAAATGATGACATCACATTTATCCCTCTAAGACCGAAACTGGAGTATATGAATGCCTTGTACTTGCACTACCTATCATGATTTTGTTGTACTGTTTGTTGTTGTATCGTTCTTACCCACCCCTACTGGACATCTCATCGGATTCCTCCAGGATAAATATTCAGATTCTGAAATGTGAATCCAATGATGCCTAATTAACATCTGTAATAATAAACCGCGTTGCCGCTACCTGCTTTGATCCAAATTGCTCACCGTAGCTTTTGGGCTTTTTGGAATGTACCAATCGCTGACCGGGGGGACGATACCAACAGTTTTGCATTAACTTAACCTGTAACAAGTATAACCCGTAAAAACAAAGTTTTTCACTATAAATCCTTTATATGCGTGGCGGCTAGAGTCCTCTCGTCCTCTGGCTTGAGATGGCTGCCACCTATGGGTCAGATGATTGCATTGCACCATTAAGCAATTGGTAATTAAATATTATATTTTTGTCCTAAAAAGTGTAAAATTTTGGAAAAAAAATTTCACGAACATTAATTGTCACGCACAACGAGTCTGTGTGGAAAATGTCAGCTCGATTGGATCACGGGAAGTGGGTTAAAAAACGACCGAAAGATTTGCACGGTCCTAAGCAAAGCAAGCAAACTTAATATAAAGGATTAAAAACAAGTAAACCCGTAAAAACAAAGTTTTTCACTATAAATCCTTTATATGCGTGGCGGCTAGAGTCCTCTCGTCCTCTGGCTTGAGATGGCTGCCACCTATGGGTCAGATGATTGTCTGCCAGTATTAAGCAATTGGTAATTAAATATTTAATTTGTTTTCCCTAAACAGTGTAACATTTTGGGATTTTTTTTCACGAACATTAATTGTTTTGCACAACGAGTCTGTGTGCAAAATGTCAGCTCGATTGGATCACGGGAAGTGGGTTAAAAAACGACTGAAAGATTTGCACGGTCGTAAGCAAGCAAGCGAACTTAATATAAAGGATTTAAAAACCTCCCAGCCTCCCCTACCCATCCCCACCCCACTCTCCTCTCCCCACCCAGCCCCACCCCTCCCACCCAGCCCCACCCCTCCCACCCAGCCCCACCATCCCCACCCAGCCCCTCCCTGAACGACGGACACAATAATCCCCTGTGGGATGGTGTAACCAGGAGGTTCCTACCAGTATAAACCTTCACAATATACCTTTACATGTTAATACATAGAGCATGCGTTTAGATATTGCTGCTAGAAATCTCCACATGATGAGCCACTTTGTTGAGCCACCATGTGTTGCCAGGTTGCTTCTGAAAAAGAGTTACACAGAACCTGCTCAAATATCTGCCACATCTCCGCCTCTATATCAGTGGCGGCTCCTGCAAAATCTCTCAGGGGGGGCAAATGTCTGGATGATTGATAAGGATAAGGTCCACCCATGCAATGGATAAATTAACAGCTTAAGCATGTAAAGGCGACTTCACTTCTTTAATATTAATGAAAAATAAAGTGACTCTTACAATACATCTCCTTGTTTGTTTCTATACTCACTATTAAAACAAACCACTCATGTTTCTTTTATTAAAGATTCCACTAGGTGGCAACAAATTATATTGTTGGATGAAACGTGCTTACGTATGATGACGTAAGCACGTTAGTGCGAGCCCTCCCGGAAGCCATAGAGAATGCATTGCAGCGCCCGCCGTTCGAAAAAAAACATCTTTGAATGTAAGTCTATGGGGCCACTCGGGGCGATTCTCAGCGGAGTGAAATCGCCCAAAAAGAGGCGGTACTCCACAGAACGTGACATGACGCTGATTGGACTATATCCAGAGGCACAGTGACGGCTAGCGTGACTCTGTGGTTCAATGACATTGGTGGTGCGTCGCCCAATCGCCCTAATGAAGAAACCGCCCCTCTATATAAGGAACGAGACAGGTGGACTTCACAAATCTGTCTGTCGCCTGATGAAGCTAGTGGTAATTACTGGCGAAACCTCGTACTCAGATTGTACATGTTGTGGATTTGCTATCCAACCCACCGGTGTGCTGTATTAGTAACGATTTGGCACGTTGTTTACGTGACAAACCTAATTATTTTTTTATTAATTTGAACCTTTCTACGTGACTACTGAAAGACACAAAGAATATGAACACTTCCTGGTTGACCGTGGCGGGTGGTGGCGGGTTTAACGACACATTTACGCGATCTCACCCAGAAAAAAAAACCTCTTATGGAAGATTACGAATTGTGAGAACAGTATGAAAAATTACCCCCGCGGTGTGAACATCTGTGAAAACTGCTGTAAATGTTTGCGGGGTGAAAGAGCTTCACAGCTCATCGGATTCCTCCAGCACGACCAAAACAACTTCTCGTTCATGGCCACCACCCCCCCCCCCCCCCCAGGCAAGATGGCGCTCCTCTTTACACACCTTCGCATTTCGTCCCCCCACGTGACCACGCTTATCCTATCCCTGGCCTCCGGGCGAGTCACGTGCCCCTGGATAGCCCCCCCCTCTCCAATCACCCAATTCTTGCCCACCCCCCCGTTGCCCCCCGTGCCCCGCCCCTCACTTTAACATCCGGGTCACCGCGAGCGGCGTCGCCATTTTGAAGGAACTCGTCGGGCCCACCGATCCACCCCCACCCGCGTCCCCGTTCAGTGGCCTCGGCGTTCGCTCGTTGCCGCGACGACATCACAGCGAGAGTCCTCGGCGCTTCGACTCTGAATGGGTGAGCAGACGCGGCCCCTCGCCACTCGCCCACTGCTCCCCGGCGTCCTCCCGCATCGCCACCTTCCCCCCCCCCACCCCCCTTCGTCTCAACGCCGCCCAAGGGCGGGGTAGCGAAGATCCTGAGCGCCGCTTTTAGAATTCCCAGCGCGCTCGCGCGAGGGCTCGCTCCGGGTTGGCTGTCGGCGGTCACGCGGGCGGCGTCTCAGCCAATGGGGAGCCGCGAAGCCACAGCGCAACGCTTAAGCGCGCGATGGTTTACAAAGCCGGGCCGCGGCTGACATTTTCGTTGGCGTGAAAAGGAAAAAAAAAGCGATTTGCCGTTCTCGATTTTTGTTTTGTTTGTCGCGCGTTTAAAGTCGGTAAGTTTATTTGTGTTGATGGTTACGATAATTCGGTGGCTCTTGTTGAACGACGGTAATTTCTCCGGCGTATAATTAATGGGGTTTGGCGTTTGAACGAGAGGCGGAGGGGAAGCCGCGTGGTGGTGGAGACTTGGGGAGGAAGCCGGTATCGGCCCGTGCCTCGTTATATAATCATCATCGTCGTCGTTGTTCTACTTTATCTTAATACTGTGCTAACATTTACACACAAAGTGTCCACGGAGTGCGGTGGTACTGGTAGATGTTCATCATCCGCAGCCCGTGGTCTATCCACTGCTGGATGATGATGGAGTCGACGCCATCTCTCGCGATCCTTGGGGTTGTGTCAATCCGCAGTGCTCAAGATGATTATTTCACCGCTCCATCTCCACGATGGTGGTAAACCAGTTGATTTCGTGGCACCAGTTAGTGTCGTGGATGGCTGTAACATAGTTTCGATATCCGTCCGTCGTTGCGTCTCTATGAAATGTCATACCCAACAAGCAAACTTTACGTAACCGTGGCAAGATTCAGTGGTCAGTGTTATCTATGTGGCTTATACACTCGTGGATGTTTAAACAACAAATGTGGAATGTCATTTCGGCTGATTGGGGAAGCCTTCGTCCAGCAGTGGATTGAGCATCGCCACTGATGTCACATTATTTTACATTACAATATTGTCAGTCGCGAGCAGTTACTCAAATATGCGAATCACTTGCTTGGAATGGTTTCCGTAATCATCGTAATTGACGATTGACTAAGTTACTTTGTCGTTACGTAATAATGTAATGTACAGTATTGTAAATAATTAATGTAATGTCTTATACCAGTGTATCATTAATTTAGTCATGCAATGTATTTTTATTGTGATGCAGTATTGCAGTTTACAGTATCGTCCAGCAGTTTAGGAAATCCACGCAAACCAATAAATAAAAATTAAACCTCCGCACAGATGGATACTAGAATCTCCTGGCAATGTTCCAAATCAGTGGGTTTTAACGAATACACGTGATCTGCCATCCATTGTATCAGTGTCGTGTGTATCCAAAAATATTTGAATCTGTTAGATTTGCCTTACACTTCATACCGTTCATCTCGGCCACAATTATATTTCAGTTACAGTATATGTGTGTGTACGATATATCAAGAATGTCCAATGGAACACGGAGGCGCACGCATCGAATTGCATTTGGGAGAACGGGGAGCATATGGATGAGGACATACGCAGTCTAAATATAGAATTTTAACTGTGAATAAAAGTGGACTTGGGTAGGACATTATCGCTTGAAGGGGATGATGGATAAGGGTGTCAAAGACAAGAACATGTTGGCCAATGTGCAGCTGTGAGATCGGTTCACTTAAGACGGAGTGTGAGGGAATGACGACTGCACGGGCAGCAGGCCTTCATCCAGCAGTGGATATACAATGCCAGCTTAATGTAATCCTCCGCAGGGCCACTACCTTCGGCTTTGTTTACCCGTTCAGTCGTGTGGGAGGCATGGAGGGCCATTTGCTATCGTGGCGAGAAGGGAGAGTTTAGGCCTGCGATGAATAGGCGAATCGGCATTGCCTTTACGTAATGGTGCGTTACACGTGTTAAGCCGCTGCCAATGTTAAAGGAGTTGAATGTATTCACTCTCAAACTGTCCTCTGGGTGTAGTAAGTATCGACTTGTTCCTTCTATGGTACTGGAATTTCCACCAACTGCCTCGGTCGAGATGAGCGTCGCACAATGCTTGCTTTCAAGCACTTGAATGTGCCGAACATTTGCCGAATGTATGATGAATTGTTATCTGTTGGGGTGTGATGTATAGTGAGTGGTCTGGGGAGTAATGTGGCCGAGTGATATTGCTTCCAGAGCAATGTTAGATATCTGGCTCGTGAAGAAGTCGCTGAGCTGTTGATGGCGTGTAAGGCTTCTTTACGTGGTTTGTGTGAGCTCTTTTAAGAGGGCTTTTAGGAACATTTCATAATCGCAGGTTAGGGATAGCTTTGTCTTGTGCTTAAAACGGTAAGTACAGCACTTGTTTACGTATATTTAAATGAGATCAAGTTGCTTTTACGTTCTCTTAGATAACCGTAGGTCCATCTTGTGCAATAATTAACCTTATGATTGCAGTCTTTGCTTTATGCTCAATACGTGCCTCAATTGTTCTCCTATACATCCATTATTTTCTGTTCACGTATGCTACGTTTTGTGATTCGTGCAAACCTTGCAGTTTTAGATGTGCCTCAAGATAAAACAATTGATTTTGAAACTAAATTATGACCCCCGAATCGTGATAATTCGGGGGTCGATCGTAAAAATGCCTCGTAGTTACATAAACTCAAACTTCTATACAGGATCGGCACGCTGTGCCGTTTAACAAATAATATTCAAATGTTAGATCACAAATGGTTCAGTGCCGCTGACAGAATGTCACTAATAACACTGTAACAAACAAAAAAATTGTTCCTGGGTAGTAAGTGTGCACCGTCGGCCGAATTACACCATGTAACACGATTTTTGTCCCTGGGTAGAAAGGGTGATTTTATAATTGCTTATGCACCAAAAGTACAGAAAATGGCTATTCTCCACAAACTTTGCTTTTGTGACTGGGACAGTGATATTTGAAATGTACCTATTTTCAATGAGAACGTGTGCATTTGTATCATTCCTTCACATAAAGTCCTGGTCACAAAAGCAAAGTTTGTGGAGAATAATAGCCATTTTCTATACTTTTTAGGCATAAGCAATAAAAAAAATCACCCTTTCTACCCAGGGACAAAAATCGTGTTACATGGTGTAATTCGGCCGACGGTGCACTTGGGCAAGTCGGCTTCATGCAGACATTATCTGGTGGCCCGTGTACGGGAATCGAACCTGTTTGACACCCGTGTTAATCAGCTCAGCGCTGACCGCCCATGCCAACGCTGTTGAGCTTTCAAAACGCTCGACCAGAGGTCGTTGAAACTGAAAATAACTCGGCACCAAAATCACTCCCGTTTCCCGTATCTGAGGATTCGAAGCTTTTCCAGTAACAAATTTTAATTGAGTCAATAACGCATACCGGGTGGGCAATGTGCACTCTTTTTAAACAACTATTAATATTGTTGCCGCTTGCGTTAATGCGCTCCGCAGTCTAAGAACATTGCGTTCCGACCTTGCCTTATCGTTCGCTCTGATAGGAGAACCCTTGTGGGAATAAAATGCCGCTTGGTAATACTCACAATGTGGTACTAGAGGGATAATACGGACTTGGCAGCGGACACTGGCTTTTGTGGCCTTTATGTTGTCAGGCGCAACATCGTAACGCTGCAGTGACGTCCACTGTATTTATGTTCAAATATTTAGGGGTGGTGGCACTCTGGGCATCTCTAGAGTGCCATGACGCACCTGATAGTCACTTAAAACAATCTTTTTTTTATTTCCAAAGTTTCAAACTCGTGTGTTGGGCATCTTGGGACAACGCAGCGTATGAGATGTTTGTCGTTCTTGTTGAGTCCTACTTGGAGAGGGGGAAAACACAAACGTTTTACAATCTTGATAAGGCCATAATCAGTTTTAATTCCTTTGATCCATCCGTTTGGCGCAGTGATTACACTATGCGAAGACACCGCCATACAAAGGCCTCATACGGTGCCGTCTACAGCTAAGATAATGTTAACGGTGGTTGTTAATTTGTAATTACTTCTGGCCAGAGTAATGTGGAATCTCCTAGAAATGGCTCAGGCTTGTATAAATGTTCACCCCCTACCCATTTAAGTGACCTTGACTGTTCCTCTTGAGTCTCATTTATTTCCAGTCCAGCAGTCTCATAATACCGCATTGGGCTGTTGGGCTAATTTTATTCCTCCCTCTCAGATCATTATTTGAAAAAAAATATTTTGTGTTATTTAAATTGATTTATTGCGATCTTTTGCAGCCACGCAGTGCACATGTGTGTAAGAAAACCTAGTTGCATCCTGCTATAATTTAAATCTCTAGCGCGTGTAGTTTTACGCGATAGCAATGAATGGGAGATTTTTCCACAGCTTCTACCACAGTGGTGTTGCTGCACAACAAAGCGATTAACACAAAGACATAACTGCTACAGCTAATTAAGACAAAGAAAATAAATGCATTTTTAAATCGAATGGGTTTAAGAAATGTGTTATGGCTGAGTGTCCCAAGTCACACCAGAGCAGGGTTATAAGTCTTGGATTCAGTGTTAATGCTTAAGGTTCTGACAGCCAACTAAAGCAACTTATTGTGATCTAAGCTCCTTGTGGACAGAGAAATGTCCCATGTCGTTTATACTGACTGGCTTGTTTATGATTAAAATCTCTCAAATCTGAGAGCCTTTAAGGAACACAAAACTGCTCCATAGCCATTGGTAGATACATACCTAGACTGTGGCCTTGGCTACCCAAAACGGGTCTGAAGATTAGTCAATGATTACAAAAAGGAGCGTTTTCACATACATCCCATAGAGTTATAAAGTCACTGCAGCAATGCTCCAGAGAATTTTAATACATAGCTGAAGGGTCTGCTGTTCTGGACTGATTTTAGTCGTCTTTCTTTAACAGAGCTTTTAACTGGTGTTGAATAGCCCCGGGGGGGAGAGCCTACATTTTTTCTACAAAATGACAGCTATTTGTTTTTGGGTTGCAAATTCCT